ATTTCTTGGCTTCCTGGACTCACTTTGTAGACCAGGCTGGCTTCGAACTCACAGAGATCCCCTTGCCTTTGCTTCCCTTAGGGCTGGGATTACATGCATGTGCCACTGTATGCATCCAGCTAGATGGGTCATTTCTATCTCTTCAGTCATGAGAAGGTTCTAAAAACAGCCCATACCTCTCTTGGCCATTGCTGTATAAATGTACAGCTGGTTCAGGCTATATCAACCTTAGTGACCTAATTTGGTGGAGTTTGAATTCTAATGAACACATGTCTACTGCTTTCCACTGAAAGCTTCTGGGCTGCCTTACCGTCACAGTAAGCTGTTCCCACAGTGACCGTCTCTAACATCCAGCCACTTTCTCCTACAGGACAGATACTGACAGATCATTTCAGCAGTGCACTAGAGCCCTCATTCATTCATCTGTTCATCCAGTGGGTAGTCACTGAGATAAGAACTGCTGGATGACCGCTTCGGTGCTAGAGATGGAGTTATGATAGAAGCAGTCACAATCCCCTCCCCATGATACAGCATACACATAGGCACAGCCACCTATTTTTCAATTTACAGTGGACAGGTATGTGGGGGTTATCTAGAAAGGTTTCCCAAGAAGTACCTAGGGTACCACTTAGGTACCTTCTCTAATGTTCTTCCTCATCCTCACAGCTATTGCCATGGCTTAGGCCTTCGAGTCACATGTGAATTACCATAGTAGTTTTTGTTGAAAAGATAGAATGGAGACTAGCAGTGGTTGGTCTAGAAAGGCAGCTGACACATAATTCTCCTCTAAAGATGCTGTTCAGCAAGAGAAATGGCCCCGAGGCCATGATCAAGCCTCAAGGTGGCAGGAAGAACATTAGACAGAGGCAATACAATAATATATGGGGGTTGAGGCTTCCAGAAAGGAGCTTCCTTGAGAGGGGAGGGATACACTGCCATGAGAAGGTGATGGAGGCAGCCTGAGGAGCCTCTCCAGAGAGCAACAAAATAAATACCAGACTTTTACAAGTTTCACAGGTGGTGCTGCCAGGAAGCTTCACATCACAACAGGAATTACTTCAATATAGAATACATGAAAACAGCACAGAAGAGCCGGATACCATACAGTGAAAATTTCTTTTTTTTAATTTTTAAAATTTTTTATTAACTACAATTTATTCACTTTGTATCCCTCCATAGCTCCCTTCCTCCTCCCCTCCCGACCCCACCTTCCCTCCCCCTTCTCCACCCATGCCCCTCCCCCAGTCCACTGATAGGGGAGGTCTTCCTCCCCTTCCTTCTGATCCTAGTCTATCAGGTCTCATCAGGAGTGGCTGCATTGTCTTCCTCTGTGTCCTAGCAAGGCTGCTCCCTCCTCAGGGGGAGGTGAACAAGACCTGGAGAAGACAGGAGTTCCACAAGGAGAGCAACAGAACCAAAAAATCTGGGCACAGGGGTCTTTTCTGGGACTGATACTCCAACCAAGGGCTATCCATGGAGATAACCTAGAACCCTTGCACAGATGTAGTCCATGGCAGTTCAGGGTCCAAGCAGGTTCCATAGTAATGGGAACAGGGACTGTCTCTGACATGAACTGATTGGTCTGCTCTTTGATTACTGAAAACTTCTTAAGTCTCTTCCAGAGACAGCTGTGGCCTGACTTGAGGCTATGGGATCTGGGCTAAAGGATAGGCCCATGCTCTCAGAGTTCCTGCTAAGCCTGTCCCCTCCCTTCCACTCCAGTTCACTCAACTCATCCTTTACTGGTGGTATCATGGTTTTTCTAGGAATATATAAAAGAACCTCTGAAGAAAAAAAAAAAAAGCCTGTTGTATTTCCTTAACCAACCACCTATTCACTAGCGCTTTGTGAGCAGGCCAGCCTAGCAGGAACTGATGTCCATATACTTACCCCCGGTTATCACAAAATTTTCACTTTCAGATCTTAATCTTATTGTGTCACTTTCCTAACTCCATGTTGGACATACTTCTGGACAAACATCTCAGCTCTCTTCTCCCCTCATGTTAACTATTCCTAATTTTCCAAGTAAGCCTCTTTCCCAGTCCAGCGATCCATCCCCTCCCAACTGTCTGTCTCATAAAAGGAAAGCCTTCTTTTGATTGAAACATGGTGCTTGTGCCTTTATAGCTCTTATGTTAATAAAAACCAAAAGCAAGCCAGGCCTAGTGGTACATGGCTGAAATCCCAGGATTTAGGAAGTGAAGGCAGGAAGACCACAAATTCAAGGCCAACATCTAGCTATATAATTAGATCAAGGGCAGCCTAGGCTACAAGAGGCCTTGACTCAAACAAAAACAGTGGGAAATTACTGAAAGTTCTATTTTCAAATTTTTTTATTTCTATTTTTTCCAATTAAAAACTATAGGAACACTATAAAATGTTGTAGGGTGTGGGAGGAGAAAACTGCTAGACAGATGAGTCTAAACAGAGAGTCCGGAACTCTTCAAGGAGTTCCCACTTGGTTGCTGAGTGCTGGTGCAAAGTGCCACCAGAAAACATGTGTCGAAGCTTCAACATTCTACTCTTGATTTCCCAGGACCCCACGGCCGAAGGAGAGACTCAGTTTCTGCAAGCTGTCCTCTAATCCCCACTGCATGCCGTGGTATTCGGGCATCCCTTCCCCTGCACTCACACAGAAGAAACGAATAAAAATATAATAAACATTTTTAAAAATTAAAACAGATCAATGAAAATGCATCCAAATGGCAAGCCAGGTATCTAATGATAATGTATAATTTGGGAGCCTTTTCCAATCAACCATTCTAGCCCCCCAAAAAATGAAATGGAGACCTATTAGTCTTACTCATCAAGCTTTAAGACACTAGAGCTGGGCAGATATCCATCTATTCTAACCCTCTATGCTCATCTGGCTACTTCCCAGCCACGTGCCCCTAATTACATGCTATATTTGTCCTGCCTGGGCTGCTTCTGCTCCATCTGGTCAGTCATCACGGCCAGGTCCTTTCTCTACCTATTCTTCCTTCTCCTCCTCTGTCTCTCCCTGAGACCCCTCAACTGGGAATGAAAATTGAGCCTCCTCTCCTCTCTTGCTCAGCTGTAGGTTCTCAGCTTTTTTATTAACTAATCAGAGATAACCGGGGAGCAGTGTTTGCACAACATTGATATAGGAGATTCTTCATGGAAATGACAATGTCAGTATCCGGACTGTAACCAGATCTCGGGGCACAGAATTCAGCATCTGAATACAGTGTACAGACCACCTCCCAACACAGGTGTATTTTCTGTGCTGGTGAGAAGGGCCCTGCCTACATCTTCTCCCTACCATCTTATATGGGTACCACACGGTAGGTGTGGAGCCGTTGGTTGTACAACAGGAATCTTCTAGAACCTTTCTCAATTGCCTCCTCACCTTAAATCAGCTCTCCCCCTTTAGAATCCCACTTATCAACAGTTGAGTACCTTAATAAGAGAGGGTCCAGCCCAGGAATTCACAGTGTAGCTCTGGGCCAAAGCTTCCCAAGTGACTGCAAATGTGAATGCCTCGTTGTGGCCTCAGGGAGACACCTGATGAATTGACACAGCCTTTACTTGGGCACAAGGATATTTATCTGATCCATCATTCTGTAGTCTCACGTATTCTGCACAACCTTCCTGGGAGGAGAACTTGTTTCGTAAGTGCTTAAAAATAGTGATCCTCATCCACTCAAGTAAGAGCAGAATGTTCTTGAGACACAAGGGCCTCAGTGGTCATTCACGGATTATGCCTCCTCAGCCGTGTAGTACAAGGAATGCTATGGGCCAGGTGTATTTGTGGGGGGACAGGAACCTTGCTCCTATAGCTTCCAGTTTTGCACCAGAGACTTGTGTTAGAAGTTATATAACTAAAGGGTTATATAAGAGGCATTTAGCAACACTCAACATTAGTAGGCATCAAATTGCTTATGAAAATCAGAGTACAAGTGAAATTAGAATTAACCAAACTGGGACTATATGCCCCTGTGGCAGAGTGGTCCACAAGCCTGTGTATGCCCTGTCTGTTTGCATTAAGAAGTTCTCACATAACATGATTACACTGAATATTCATGCTGTGGTATGGTTACATTCATGTTCAGAAACCAGCTGTTTGGAGGCTGCAGAGATGGAGGGCTCAGTGCTTAAGGGTACTTGTTGCCCTCTCAGAGTTCTCAGCGCTCTATGGTGACTCACAATCCCATGCCCCCTTCTGACCTCCGAAACATCCATATACATAAAATACAATCAACAAATCTAAAATTTAAAAAAAAAAAAAACAAAACTGTAAGCTGGAGAAATCTAAAATTAAAAACAAAAAACTGCAGGCTGGAGAAACTGAAGCAAATTTAGACTGCCTTTTTTGGGTAAAGTCGTGTGTATTATAAGTTCCTGTGAAATAAGTTTTAAAACTCTTCCCTTTCTTTCTTTCTTTCTTTCTTTCTTTCTTTCTTTCTTTCTTTCTTTCTTTCTTTCTTTCTCTCTCTCTCTCTCTTTCTTTTCTTCTTTCTCTCTCTCTTCTCTCTTCTTTTTTTTCGTGGGGAATCAAGGAGAGTATGTGCTTCCATATCTCAGATAACACTTCTGTCTTCTGTCCTGTCCTGGGCCCGCAGGTACCTTTTGAAATGTTCTTAGGACCAGTCACACTGCCCTAGTGGTGCCTGACTCCACAGCTGGCCTGTTTTGCAAGCCCACAAGATCTGGACTACGTTCCAGTTGTTTTAGGGCTTGTGTTCTCCCTCCTTCCCCGGGTCGTCATTGGCCAGGCACCGGGAGAAACGGAAGGAAGCTGATTTTGCTGAGTTCTGCAGGGGGTCGCATCTCCCACCTCGCCTCCTCTTTGAGGCTTCTGAGGAGGTCTCGAGACTGCGGCTTGCCTAGAAGAGGGAAAGGAGAACTCGCTTCAGGAGGCCACGACCCCCGGGGAGGCGCCAGCTGGGCGCAATTTAGGAGCCCCGCAGGGCAAGGGAGCCAGCGCAGGCGCAGCAGGAAACGCCCCGGGCCCGGCCCGCAGGGCTCAGGGAGCAGTGTCTGGGAGGGACAGGGTGGCGCCGGGCCAAGGCTGCCCGCCCTGCTCACCTCGTCCTGGACCTGGGAGGGGCGAGGCACCTCCCGTGGGCCTGTGGATGCCCCGCCCGCCCCCTCCATGGCCCTGGCAGGGCGAGAGCGGCAGCATGAGAGCCGGTGCCGCCCCTCACGGCCGGTGGACGCGTGGCGAGCCGCGGCCGCCGATCGTGGACGCTGCATGGGGACACCGGGGGCCCGGCGACGCGCACGGCGCGGAGGCTGGGGACTTCCCCCGAGCTCCCCTGCGCTCGCCATAGCGGGGCTGCTGTGCACCGCGTTGACCGCCTGCATCTGCTGGAGACAGCTGCCGCAGCTGCCCTGGGCATCTCCAGCCCCGCCACGCCCGGTGGGCGTGCTGCTCTGGTGGGAACCCTTCGAGGGGCGCCGTGTCCACCCCAGGCCTCCGCCTGATTGCAACCTGCGCTTCAACATCAGCGGCTGCCGCTTGCTCACCGACCGCGCGGCCTACGGGGAGGCTCAGGCAGTGCTGTTCCACCACCGCGACCTGGTGAAGGGACCCCCCGACTGGCCCCCGCCCTGGGGAGCCCAAGGACGCACGGATGAGGCGCTGGAGCTACGCGTGTTCGACGACCAGGAGGGAGCGGTGATGCTAGCCCGCGAAGCCCTGGAGACCGCAGGCTCTAGACCCCCGGGTCAGCGCTGGGTGTGGATGAACTTCGAATCACCCTCCCATACCCCGGGGCTGCGGGGCTTGGCGAGGGACCTCTTCAACTGGACACTGTCCTACCGGACAGACTCTGATGTCTTCGTGCCCTATGGCTTCCTCTATCCCAGGAGCCATCCAGCTGACCAGCCGCCAGGCCTGGGTCCCCCGCTGGCCCGCAAGCGGGGACTGGTGGCCTGGGTTGTGAGCCACTGGAACGAGCGCATGGCACGGGTCCGTTACTACCACCAGCTGAGTCAGCACGTGTCTGTGGACGTGTTTGGCCGGGCGGGACCCGGGCAACCACTGCCAGCCAGCGGGCTGCTGCACACTGTGGCCCGCTACAAGTTTTACCTGGCCTTTGAGAATTCACAGCACGTGGATTACATCACAGAGAAGCTGTGGCGGAATGCCTTTCTGGCTGGGGCTGTGCCAGTGGTGCTAGGCCCGGACCGAGCCAACTATGAGCGCTTCGTGCCTCGTGGCGCCTTCATCCACGTGGACGACTTCCCTAGTGCGGCCTCCCTGGCTGCCTACCTACACTTTCTCGACCGAAACGTGGCTGTCTATCGCCGCTACTTCCACTGGCGCCGGAGCTATGCGGTGCACATTACCTCTTTCTGGGATGAGCCATGGTGCCGGACATGCCAAGCTGTGCAGACCTCCGGGGACCAGCCCAAGAGCATCCGAAACTTGGCAGGCTGGTTCGAGCGATGAGGCCATTCTGCTGTGAACTGACTAGTCTCCTTGGCTGAGTTTTCTAAATACCCAGCATGCTTGATGGGAAAAAGATAAGCCTACCAGTTTTATTGTTTAGCACAAGGATGGGAAAATTCCCAGGTCCTCACGGCTTTTTTACGGAGATCTGCGCTGGCTGTTAAGGGACTTTGGAGCTCTGGGTGAGGAAGGAGGCCCTTCTTTACCTGTTCCCCATGTGAAGAAGTGGCTTTTCCTTTTGGGCACAGGCCTCATCGGGGGTCTATGTGCACTCTAAAATTGAGACATATTTGTTCTCTGATCCATGTCTGCTTGGACCAACGAGAGCAGAGCACTGGATTTTGAAAGCCGGTGGGTATGAGAAAGTAGAAGAACTCTACCCGGGTTTTTCTTTGGCGTTTGGATTCCTCAAACACTCTGACCCTGGAAAAGATAAGAAGCCATTGATTCCCTTCACCAGCTGTTTATATCCCCAGCCCTGGAATAGAAGCCAGAGGCAAGATTATCCTCTGAGGAAAATTATGATGAAGACATGGGTGTGCCTCAGTTCATACTAGTAACCTAGTCCCGAAAAGCTGCATTAGAGTGACACCCCAATTCAGGGCCCTATGGGAGTGCAGTATTTAATAGAAATAAGTGGAAAGTCCCTTTGCAATGTGAATGACCCTCTCTTGATTATTCTGTCTTTAAAGTTCCCTATAACCTGGATCAGGAAAACATTCAAAATAGAGATATGAGAAAAAACATTCTTGTCCTTTTCCTAACCAGTGTTTACAAATGGAAGAAACATAAATGACGTCATATCCACAAATGTGTTTATTCTGTCTCTGCTGGACCTGAAATTCAAACTGGAATGTTAGTCCTTCAGCAGTGCTGTGCAGAGAGAACTGTAAAAGATTTCACTGAACTATGGGTTTGTGCAAAAGGGGGAAAAAAAACAACTTGTGTTTGTATATGGTTGTTTGGTTTCTGTCCATTTTTTGTTAAATGGAACTGAACAAGTGCCTACAATGAATGGTCTGTTCTTTGTTAAGTGCTAAGATCTACAGATTCTCCTCTGAATCTGCATCTCAGTACACTGATTCCAGTGCCTTTGAGTCTAGCTGTGGGGCCAATCTTGGAAATACACTCATTGATTTTTCCAAGTTCAACAGATGTCAGGGCATGCCTGCTTGTGCCAAATTACTGGGCTTGGGTCCTCAGGGAAGGTATAGAGAGGTATGAGCAGGTGCCTTCTCTGTGGGGCAACTATAGTCTACCACTGCCGCAGGGGAATAGGGATTTGGGTCACACAAAGTGTCGTTCATAAATCAGCCAGTTGACTGAAGTCCTCAAGCTATTAAGCTAGGCCCCTTAGTCACTGACATGGGCAGGGTCCGAGATTTATTTGCTGTGTACAGAGTTCTGCCCCTGTTTGCTCAGGACAGTTACCTGAGTCTTAGATCAGGTTCACCTCCTAGAGCTCTTGTTACGAGTAGGCTTGAAAGGCTCACTTAGGCCCAGGTGTTTCTATTCTGTCTTTCATAAAAGGAGTAATTAAAAGCTGTGAATAACATTGCCTCATTAAAGCTTTACAGTGTGGGCAGAAGCGCAACTATAGAATACCAGCTGTCCAACAAAGACAAACAAAAGTTTTGGGGGTTTTGTTTGGTTGGTTTGGTTTTCAAGACAGGTTTTCTCTGTGTCGTCCTGGAACTCTCTTTGTACACCAGGCTGGGCTTGAACTCAGAGACCCACCTGCCTCTGCCTCTCTTGGGCTGGGATTAAAGGTGTATATCACCATGCCCAACTTAAAAGTTCTGTTTTTAAAAGTGAGTATTGATGCGATATTGGCTAGGGGTCTCAGTGTTTTGGGGGATCTACACTGGGCAGTGGGAGGGGGGTTAAGATTTGCTAATGTGGGTCAGCTTTGCCTTCCAGCTGGGGGACACCTGGCTGAGGAGTGACCCAGGCATAGAGTCCCTCTTTTGTGACCTGTGGGAAAACACCTGACAATTTCCTGTGGGAAGTAAAAGCTGGCTCAATATGTATGTATCCATAAGCATATTTCCTTCTTACTTTGTAGGGAGTTTAGGATATCCTCATATGCATTTTACATCTGAAATTAAATTTTAGGATCTGTTACAGAACAAATCTAAACTAGGAAGGTGAGTCATATATTGCGTTTTCCAAATAAATCCTTAAAGCTGAGCCATATTTTAGGACCATACAATTTCTATTAAGCTTGTATTTTCAGATTAGAAGTACATGTGTTTTGATAAAGCTATGTAAATTAAAATAATATGGATTGCTTCACCTATACATTTCTCATTAAATCCACGTAAAACTAGCCTTTGTTTATGGAATGCTTATTATGAGAAAGAATGCTTCTGAGTGTGCTGTGTATTTCCTGTGATTGTCACGGCTTTAAGTTCTCCTTTCAAGTTGATCACAAATGTAACCTTTTTACCTCTGGATGACCCTCATTCCATGTGCACGTCTGGAAGGATATTCTCAGAAGAACTTGCTGGCAGTACTTAAGATTCTTTTGTGTTCCCAAACCCTTCCCTGACAGTAAGAGGAAGACAGTTTGGGTGCCAGGGTGGCTTCAGGAAAGAGCTTGCAGTTGGGAGCCAGAACCTGACACAGTGGCTTGGCCGCCTTCTGCATCTGTGGCCTAAGTCAGGCAACTGATTTAAATTGTAGCTTCCGTTGTACCGTGTGAAAGCCACAGGAAAGGATCCTGAAGAATGTTGTGTGCCCGGGCATTTTGTCCGTTGTGAGGTGCTATGCCTTACAGAATCCAGTCTTTGAAGGCTCTGGACCACAGGTTAGGAAACATTTTCTGCTTGGGGACAGAGTGAATATATTTCAAGCTTTGCAGGCTGGACCTCTGCTGTGAGGGTGCAGGAGCAGGCAGGAGGATGCAGAACCCAGCAGGCATGCTTGCTAACTTCAGTCCTTGGGTCAGAGTTCACCAACTCAGTGCTGGGTGTCCACAGATGACGTAAAACGTTTGGGGAATTCAATTTTTTAAAAAGTATAACTTGATGGGCATCTCTTGAAAGGGATTTAATAATTAGGATTTAAGAATTCTGGGGGGGGGGTGTTGCTGGGCTCCTAGACCAGCTTTGCAACATTCCTTAGTTGTCTGATCTGGGGCAAATTATTGACGCTTTCTGTATTTTGGCAGTCTCATCTCTAATTGAAGGTAATCATGTATGGGGGTACAGAGGGGTTGAAGTAAGACCCTTGACTTAGTCCTGGCCCTGAGGATGTGCCTAGAAACAGTTGCTAAGATCACCTCCTGAGGGAGGTCCGAGGTCCAGACCTTTGAAAGGACTTAACTAAAGTGACAGTAATATGCCGTGTGTGTGTGTGTGTGTGTGTGTGTGTGTGTGTGTGTATGTATGTGTCCCTTGAGCACTGTCACCTGAACTGCAAAATAAGGGGCCTGACCCGTAGGCATCTTTCTGTTGGTGGGTAGAGTCTGTGAGTTCAATGGTTCTACACTGGTGTGGAACTGCACCCGGCCCAGCTCAGCTTGCCCTTTCTCTTTTTCACTTCCCTTTTTCAATTTATAGTGACTTGTTTGCAAGGGCACAACCTTGGATTCCAGCTGGGCTTGTTTCCCCAAATGCTCCTGTGTTCTCAACAGTAGAGTTCAGTCCACCACATTAAGTAATGTCAATTTGGGATAGAACAAAGATTGCAAACCTAAGGGTGGAGTGGTGGGCCAAGAACAGAAAAGGTAAGTTTTTTCTCTTTGGGAGGACACAAGAATCGCTGACAGAGGAAAACATCAAGTTGCAACAAATAGTAGGGATTCTCTTCTCTCTTGTCCTCTCCAGCCATACACGTGATATACTAACTTAGTACCAAATAAAAAGTCACCATGGCCAACTAATAGGACCAGGACTCTCAGGGAAGAAGATTCAATAACATATGAGTTAAAAGTGTTAAGTTGGGGCTGGAGAGATGGCTCAGAGGTTAAGAACATTCACTATTCTTCCAAAGGTCTGAGTTCAATTCCCAGTCAACCACATGGTGGCTCATAACCATCTATAGTGAGATCTGGTGTGCAGGCAGAATGTTGTATAAATAATAAATAAATCTTTTTTTTTAAGTGTTTAAAAAAATCTTTAAAAAAAAAGTGTGAAGTTGGTTGGAGAGCAAAAAGTGAAATAGACATGGAGTCTGTGAGACCAAGGGAAGAGAACCCGACAAGGTGAGCCTAAATAAAGGGAGAGCGGGGAGAAGAGGAGAGAGGGAAAGCATGAGGATTGAAGGCCAAACGAGGCAGAAGAAAGTGGGATGTGTGCACCAGAATGAAGGCCAGGTTAAAGAGCACCATCCATCATGCCTTTTGCTGAGAAGAAACCTTTGTGCAGCTTGAAACAGCCTCTGTGGGCAGATGGGAGTGAAATCAAAGCATGAACTTGCTGAACAAGAAATAAACATAAAAACCAGATTCATTATAGCAGATTCTTGAATGCTTAATGAATGTCACTTTTTTAAAATCTGGGAAAACATTTATTTATTGCCCTTCATTTAATCCCAGTTAACATATTTCACTGGTTCTCAATATCCACTTTTTAAAGAAATTGACTTTTGGAAACAACCGCCAACATTTTTTTTTTTTTTTAATGAAAATGAGGGTGTGTGTGTGTGTGTGTGTGTGTGTGTGTGTGTGTGAAGAATATAAAGCACATTTTCATTGCCTGTAAAGCCTTGTAAAACTACTTAAAGTAAGATTTAAAGAATTGGATTTTTATGAGATTCATTTAGAGATCTTTAGTATCTTTTAAACTACTGTAACTCGGCGCAAGGGGATGGCTCAGTGGATGAAGCACTGGCCTGATGACCGGAGTTTGATCTTCAGGCCCCACATGGTGCAAGGAGCAAACTGACTCCCCCAAATTACCTGTGACTTCTATTGTGTGTACGGCACATTCATGCCCACACGCAGACACATACGGATACAATAGATGAAGAAACGAGTGCAATTTAAAATCGCCGAGTCTCATCTAATACTACGGTAAAGAGAATGTAGCCTGTAAAGGATCTTTTCAAAGGCGGAGACGTAGAATGCTAATAATTAACCCATGTATCTGGAGTGCCTCCTGTGCGCATGCTCTGCGCTAGGACTTCGAGATGTAAATAAGATGAAGGCGAGGACACTGCACTCCGGTGTGTGTGTTCTCACCGCGGAAGTGGATATGCAGACAATGTGAATGAAAACCCCTGAGACGAAGCTGCAAAACCCCTGGCAGGAATCTGCGGGGGCGGATTGGCTGATCTGAATTTCAGTACTGTGGGAGACTGGAAAGTTGCAGGTCCAAGGGCTAATTGCCTTCCCTTGGGCTAAGTTCTTCTGGCTTTCCAGAACAACCATTTCTTGCACTCTGTGTCAGAACTAACAGCTTGTGACAGTAGATAAAGAAAACCTTTCAGAATCTATTAATTTACCAGGCAACCAGCTTCTATCAATCTAAAAGCTAAAAAATGTCATTAGGTAGCATCCTGAGCCTATAGGATGCTTTTTTGTCCTGCTTCTCTGATGTACTCACCAGTGCTTTTTAAAGTAAACTCTATTTATAACTTTCTGTTCTTTAAAACTCTGAAACTGCTTCCATATTGGAACCTGGAATTTCAGATAACCTAAGCCTGTGTTCCTGGGCCGTGGTCACCCAAAATGGCTCCTGGATAAACTATCCCTTATTTCTATTTAAGATGAGATCTTGTAGCCTTTGTGTCAACAACAAAGAACTCCAACATATGCTATTGCCACAATAAATGTCTGTTAAAGGAGGAGATGTAAGAGCAAGTATGGAACCATAGCCTAAAGTCCTCATAGGAGCCCTGGAAGCATCAGAGCCCTGAAATTCAGGGAAGTGTCCCCCCAGCACAAACTAAGTTCCTCTGATGCTATACAGAAAAATGCCAGTGCTGCAGCCTCTGGCCACGGGACATTCTACCTGATCATTGTCGCTAACAGTGCAGTTAAAAACGGGAGCTGAGCTCAAGTAGCACCTTCAAAATGACTAATCCCCATAGGGGATTGCGCTCTCCTAGCAACTAGGCACACCTGCCATACCCTCTGGTTTTCTGGCTCTCCCGAGGTTAAGTCAACATTTAAGAAGGCTCCAAGTCTGCTCGCTATCTTGGCTATCAAGCAGTGATGCCTCAAGATAATGCCAGAAGCCCTCATGGTTTGTCGAGACTTCTTGGGGAAGAACAAAGACACAGCTTTTGAACGGATGCTATCTGCCAGAGGCTGTAGCTGACTAAGAATTGTTCCTTGCAAAGCTCCTGGTCCATACAGTTTAAGCTCAAACTGCCTCTGATCATTAGCCTTCAGTGAAAGACAGTGGGCCAGTGACATCCATTAATCTTGGTCTCCTAATATCCACAGTCATGTGATCGCCCTCTGAGAGTCTGGTCGTGTTTGGGTGACCCACCACTAACCATGAGTGGCCAAGAGAAGTGATGGCTGATTTTCTCAGACTGGATTGTAAAGCCTGGGCTTTGTGTCCACCCCTTCCGTCTTTTTTCCTGTGTTTTTGCTGCCTGCCTATCTGCTATTGGTTCTTTTGTGAATGAGAACTGAAAAAAGATCTGTGTCCGCAAACGGTGATTAAAGTGTAGCATCTGAGGCCTGCAGTGGTGACTCCTCCATCCTTCAGTAAGTAACCTGCATCCCGGATGTTCCGACCAATTTATTCTAAAAGTTCAGTAGTTTATAACTTTCTTTGTTCCGTTACCAGAAAAACTACATGAACCTGCTTCCATATTGGAACCTGGAACCTACGGTAACCTAGCCCCATGTTCTCAGGCCATAGTCATTGATAGTTTGGTTCCAGAATAAACTAGCTCTGGAACTGAGAGGTGTGTTTCTGCTTCAACACATTCCTATCATTCCCTTCCTCCCTTCCTTCCTCTTCTCCTTTTTCTCTCCCTCCACCTTTCTGCCCCTCTATCCCTCTCCTCTCATTTCTCCCTCCTCTTTCTTCCCTTTCCCTTTCTTTCCCTGGGACATAAGACATGAAGCCTGTATGCACATGATTTTCCTTAAATAGTAATAACCGTCATTTTTCATACTCTGGGCTTTAGTCTAGATAGCCATATGTCATATTCAGTGTATTATGAGAGTTCTCATTTGTTACATTTATGCTTTAAACTGTTTACCACTTGACTTTATCATCCCAGCTTTTGAATATTCTAAGAAACAAGGAGGAATTAATTTTTTTTGCTGCTGCTGCTCTTAATCCCTGCTTCCCACATCCTTTTCCCTTGTTGTTTAGACACCTGGCTGTGCTTTCCTGTTGCTGGAAGGAAATGGATCAGACTGCTCTTATCCAAGAAGTTGAAATGGCTGGCACCCCCAGCAGCTTTGCTGGGTGCAGTTCCAGACTTCCTATCTTTTGGGTCAGTGTTCACTGACACTATAGTCCTGGGGGAACATGATATGGGAGCAATAACAGACCAAAGTAAGGATACCAACAAAGCCCAACTTGGGTTTTTTGGGGGTTACTTACAGGAATATGGATTCTCGGTTACTTACAGGAATAGAAATGACAGAATGACAGCTGTATCACCGAAAGGTCCACCCTAGCATGGGTGACCACTGATGAAGACTGGAAACCTGGAGCTCACTGCGAAACAGTGAGGCAGCTCAATAGGCTTGGGCAGTTGAGTTGGTGTGACCCTCTTCTAAAGGGCTCCTCTTGTCTGCCAGCGTCTCTCAGCTCTCCTTTATAGCTTCTATAGGATTGGGAATGGAGCTGCTAAGTGTATCTGGTCAGCTTTAGGGACTTGGTGAAGCCTTTGAGTTGTTTATTTCCTGACTGGAAGAGTTTGCCTGCAGGACGGAATGTTTCACCTCCCCTGGTATTTCACATCCTTCCTGATAATCCAACGTTATTATCCGAATGCTGTTGATTGGGCAATTGGAGCTTCCCTCCCAAACCACACCGGTTGCATCTCCTGCTAGGAGGCCCACAGCGGAGCACTGACAACAGTACCTGCAGGTCTCTGCTACAATACCGCTCTTCCCTGACTGAGACAGAGCATGTGGTGACTCCTCCAGAGCCACACAAGCAGCTTTGTTCCCAACTAAGTCGTCCTCGAAGCTCCCCCTCATCTTGTGTCTCTTAAGAGTTTTCAAGACTCTACACACTTCGCCTGAATTATACTTTTAAAACACATTATTATTTGTGTGTTTGTCTGAGCGTCAGGAGCATGCAGGGGCCCCAGGAGGCCAGAAGAGGGTGTTGGGTCCTCTGAAACTGGAGCTCCAGATGGTTGTGAATCACTATGTGGGTACTGAGAGCCAAACCCTGGTCCTCTGAAGTAGCAACAAGAATACTCTTAACCACTAAGGTCTCCCTGGGCCCCCAACCTAATTTCTTTTAAGATTGACTCACGTTGCTAACTCCCTCTCTAGGACACCGTTCCAAACGTTTGTCTAATGGTCCATCTATTAACCGCCCACACTTTCACCTCCTCTCACCCCTTCTCGGGGTGCAACCCTAACAACACTCAGATAACAGTGACACAAGCTTCCTCTCAGGTCCAGAGTGGTGTGTGATGCAACTCTCACATATGTTTATACTTGGGTAATTTCCAAAAACCAGTAGCAGAGAGAGACATCCTCAAAATGATAAAGACTGCCAGCTGGGTGTTTATAGCAAATGAGGGGCGCCTAAAAAAAAAGTGTCAAAAGGAGACAGAGACAGAGATGGAGAGATTCCCGCGAGGTTACTCGAGGCCCAGCCCCGCCTGGCCCCGCCCCACATGCTCTTGCGCATTCTGGGAGTACAAGCCCACCCACGCTCGGGTTGCTGTTTGCCACACCATCTCAGGAAACTGACTACTTTAAATCTCCTCAGCACAGCTTCACCATCTTCTTCCCAGAGGAAACACCTGTGCCGAGACTCACCGGCTCTATAAAGCCTCGGACACCCAGGAACATGAGTGGACGAGCCCGAGTAAGGGCGCGAGGCATCACCCCAGGCCACAGCCGCAGGGAAGTGGGGTGCGCCCCAGGAGTCGGCACCGTGAGTGTTTGGCTCTACTTTCTGTGTCCATCCTGGGCAATGCTTTCCTCTCCCAGCCTCTCCCACCTTTTTTCTTGCAAGTGTATATATACTATTAAGATCCGGAAGTGCAGAAAAGCACTGTAGCTAGGAGGTATGTAGCTGCCTTCTCCTTTCTTAGCTTTAGTTCAGTTGATTGGAAAGTAGGAAAAAAGGGAGAATAAACGAAAGAAAGACAGACAAAACATGAATTAAGCCTCCCCCTCTTTCGGTGTGCTCCAGTTGTTCCTGATAACAGGTGGCAGAAATCGTCTCAGATTCAGATGTACGTGGCTTAGATCAGCTGCTGTTGGTTGCGCAAACATTCGGAGTTTGGCTGTTTGCTGGGTGACAGAACCAATCCTGAATAACAGTTGTACATCCGCTTTTGAAGAACCTTTTAGTCTCAGACCAGAACTGGTGGTTTGTGATCATTTTGCCCTTGTTATCATTGAGTGGAGTTCTCTTGACTTTCACTCTCTCTGTCTGTCTCTCTCTTTTCTGTCTTTCTTTATTTTCTCTTTTTAAACAGGCAAGATACAATAATTTCTTGGGCAAGGAGGAGTTTTCTGCCTAACAGCTCTGTCCTTAACTGTCTTGTGAACTGGTTTTGGTTCAGTGCACTTCCAGGGTTCATCCCATGCTCGGGGTCCCACTTCCACATCTGAGACCTCTGGGGACCAGCATGGTTACCTGGTTCGTGCTCAGATGCTAGCATGACTCAGGCTAATAGCTCTTGGAAAGGGAGGCCCTCCAGCTTCTCCTTAGCCTTCTGTGGAGCATGGCCACCCTCCCTCTTGTCCCTCAAGAGTTTCTACCTCTGGATCATGGTAATCTACGATATCAGACACCATTTTTCTGATAGCCTTGTGGCTTGTGAGTTGGTTTAAATCTGACCACACTTTCTGCCTGCTTTGTAGGCCACCTTTGCCAGTCCTGGGGAGAGTCAGGCCTCCAGCAGAGGAGCCAGCAGCATTTCACAGCCACGTAAGTGCCACCGGTTCTGCTTCCCTGACCTCCTTCAGCCTAAGCAGAGCAGAGGGACCCATCAATCCCTGAGACATCAGACAGCCACCACAGCTCTGCTCCCCTTTTCATGTTCGTTGTGGATTCTCTGGGCTTCCTGGGGGTGCCTGGGACATGGGAATCCATATGGGGAAGCTGGTCTGATTCTTTCTGCTCAGTGAGTAATTTTGAAACCCACCCACCTTGACACAGAGTCTCAGATCCCAGCCAGCCTCAAACTACTGTATTCCCGAAGATGACCTTGAACTTCTGATTCTCCTGCCTCTGCCCTCCCCAACCCTTCAGTCCTGGGATTACAGGTGTACACCCACCACACCATTTTTTGTGGTTCTGGGATTGGAGTCAGGGTCTCATTTGTCCTAAACAAGCCAAATGAGTTACATTCCCAGCCCTTGAAAAAAAAAATTCCAAAAATACAGAGCAGAAATGCCAAAGCTCCTATCTTCCTGGATGGGAGAAACCAGCATACACCTCTGGTTCATTTTCCCTCATACCTGGGGGATACATCAGGCCTCCTAGCAAAGCCAGGTTCAGCCTCGGGATTCTTGTCCACTCTTGACCACACAGCCTGAGTTGACATGCCAGGTGTATTAGATTTTCCTTGGGCTGCCGCAAGGAAGTACCATTGACTGAGGGGCTTAAATAAGAGACTTTTGTTTTTTCCTAATGCCAAGGGGTTGAAATGAACCTGAGGAGAACAGAGTTCATTTCATATCCCTGACATGAAACCTGTCTACCATGTCTCTAATTCTGACCGTGGAATGAAGTCATTGGTGAGTGAGTCTGTAAGCCCACAGACTCTCCGAGTCCATCTCCCATGTAGCTGTCTGTCTGGGTGGGAGCTTTCCAGGTCCATGTGCATAGTGATCTGAACTGTAATGAGAATGTACTGCATGGACACAGAGGCCTGCTCTGAGAGGCAGCCTGTGGGCCAAACATTGTCACCCAAGCATTATCATTATCGCTGTTTCCAGGATAAAAACAGTCCATTCTTTGAAGACAGACTGAATTTTTGTTGATTTTCCTAAATTATACATATACATATAACCTAAATATACCTATAACCTAAATTTTTTCCTTAAGTGTAGAGTCCTGGCCTTTTAAGACCACTTATATTGTATAGTTACCACTGGCATCTATCTCTGGAACTCTTTTGTGTTGTAAAACTGACATTTACTATTTGTTAAAAATAACTTCCCATTTCCCATCCATCCAGTTTCTGAGAATTGCCATTCTATTGTAGTTTGAACTTTTTTGTTTTGTTTTGTTTTTTTGTTTTTGTTCTTGTTTTTGCTGTTGTTGTTTTTTCCAAAACAGGGTTTCTCTGTGTATCCCTGATGGTCCTGGAACACTCTATGTAGACCAGGCTGGCTGTGAGCTCAGAGATCTGCCTGCCTCTCCTGGTGCCACCACCTCCCCACCTAGTTTGAACTTTTTTAAAAAATAAATTTTGATTTTATGTTTAATGATGTGTATTTTGTGTGTCTGTGGGCGAGGCCAGAGGCATTGGATTCCCCTGGAGTAATTGGGAGCCGCTTGATGTGGGTTCTAGGAGTGAAACTCTGCTTCTCCGAAAGCGTTCTTAACCACTGAGCTTTTACCCAGGCCCTGGTAGTTTAAAATTCTAAACTATCTAAAAATCACCTGAAATCTGGAGCAGTGAGAGAGCTAGATGGTCAGTTAAAATCAATCTCTGAAAGAGTCCATTTCCATGGAGAAGGATCCAGGAGGAAGTTTGGAGCAGGTGGTAGGGGCATTTGGGGACAGCATGCAGTAGCTACATCACAGGACAGATGAAACCAGAGCCCAGAGGGTCAGCACACTGGTAGCCATGTTGTTTTGCAGTAAAGGCCCGGATTTTGATGGTTTGAAGTTACCTTCCAAGTGCTGAAGCTGTTTAAAAGCTACCGTCTTCTGTGTTCACTTAAACGGAAGTCACTTAGAAGGAAACAGGCTTGCCGAATGTAAATGGTAGACACTGAGGTGGACTCTGTCTTCCCTTCTTAAGGAATAACCTAGGGTGATTGTTGGTGGCTGTGCCTGCGTGGTTTCTCTATTCACATGCGGAAGTCTAGAGACTCGGCCCTCTGTGCAGAGGTCAGCGTAGGTTGTCCTAGCCTGAGTTTCTTCAGAGTGTAGCCACCCAACAGCTAAAGGAGGAGTGACTGTCACTTGTTAACACGTGGAACTGGGGCACACAGTGCAGCTGTCTCCTGAGCCAAGAAGAGGACATCTGTGGTATGGTAAAAGCTAACGCTTAATCTCATTTCTAATTAAACATTCCAGGCCTTCTCTAGACTTTTCAGTGTTGAGATAAAGTCCTTGGTACAGGCAGGAACGTGTGAACAGTGCAGGCACGTTTTAGTGAAAACCTGAGTTCTGACTGTCAGTGTGGTCCTGATGTAGAGGGTGCATGCAGTCTGTCACTGTGTTATCTTCTTGTTTCAGATGAGGCTGGTGTCTCTTCCGGTGATGGTGGACGTACGTTCAGGGAAATGAGAGGCAAAGACAGACGGGACTTTGTAGATTTGGGTGTCTGTACCAGAGAGAAGTTGGCCCATGTAAAAGATTGTAAAACAGGTAGCCAGCCCCTTCTTGTTACTTTTTAAAGACCATCAAGTGTTGCTATGGAATTTAAATTTCTAGTTCTGAAATAGGTAAGTTTGTTAATCAACCTGATAGGCGTTGACTGAGCATCTGTGTGTGGAAGGCATTCTAAGTGTGTCGGCTTTATTGTCAGAAACACAAAACTATTTTCTTTTTCAATCCACATCTCACTTTTAGAAAAGCCATCTTCTTCTCACTTGGGGGCATAGAAAGATTCTCTTTCCCAACCCTTATCCTATGTGGAGGATTAGCCTGTGGGGATTTTAACTGTAGAAAGGAAATCACAGCCAGTGAGGACACGTCTTCATTCAGACTCCAGGCTCCTTTTGAAATTGTGTACATAGTTGTGGGCTGATGTATCTTCTGGGAAGTTTGTTTTCTTTGGATTTGCAGGAGGCTTTGAGGATCCCTCCCCACTGATGGAAATTCTGTGTTTGATATATATACATATATAGATCACATATATATGTGTATGTCAAATATATATGCACATATATGCAGAACCATTAGAAATAGACGTTATTATCTAACAAGCAGATGCACAACTGAAGCCAAAGTTTCCCCAACGGTGCATACCTCGCTGTTTTTTTTTTTGGTTTTTTTTGGTTTTTTTTGGTTTTTTTTTATGCTGTTGTTGGGGTGGAGAGATGGATGGGTGGTTAGGAACATATACAACGGTATCAGGATTGAAGTTCCAGCTGCTCATATTAGGCAGCTCACAAACACCTGAGACTCCAGGTCCAAGGAGTTTCACGCCCTTCTAGCTTCCATGGGCACCTGCACGCACAGAAGATAATAAAGAGAAGAAGTCTTTTTAAACCCCCCCCCCCCAACACACACAGTAAAACCCACGGACTCACGAACCTTCCCAACCCCAGCACGGATGGGGCTTGCTGCAGTTTGAAGGTGCTGGCGCAGTAATTTCCAAGTCCTGCCAGTTCCGACGGTATACATTGATTTCTCTCAGCCCGTGTAATGACAGGCTGGAATGTGATGCCGTTCACTCAGAATCTGAGAGGACTACTTTTTTTTTTTTTTAAGCAAAAACGACATGATTGTCTCTTGCCTCTGCCAGAGACGTGTCAAGGGCCAAGGCTGAGGAAGCGCTACGGCATACAAGCACTGTTTATTTCTTATACCCTTGGGGACTTGCATTTCCACTTTCTCTAAAAAGAAAACTAGTGTGTGCAGTGTAGAAAGATACAAATTGGGTTTTTTTCTGTGAAGACAGGCCAGAAAAAGAAGCCGTTTTTACTCTCTTAGATTCTGTCCTGGGGAGGAGCTTGTGGCATCCTCTGTGCAGCCGGCGCTGATTTTGCCCTGTAGAATTTCAAGCTCTGAGTAAAAATGTCTATAGGGGAAGGAATTCCAAGAAGCACATATGGGCTCCATGTGCCCATAAAAATAGAGACCCAAGTCATCCTGCTTCTATATAGGAGTCCCTGATCCTTCTCAGAGGCCCTGTTGGCCCCTTTGGGGGACTTCCACAGTGGTCCAACCATGGATGGAACTTTGTCAGAACTTTCTAACTCCTGGTGAAACTCTGATTATCTGGATTTCCCGGAGGCTGGGGAGTTAAACCGTTCACGGTGAGAGTGGGATTGGCTTTTATTTTTCTTGTGGCTGTGATGTCAGCAGCGAAAACTGACAGCACCTGAGACCGTCAAGCTGATTGGAATCATAGAATCACATGCAGATGGAATCACATCTGGAAGGTGTCAGGGCAGTTGCGTTCAGACGCTTCTCTTCCCCAGAGGTTGGAAGGTCACATCCTTCCCTCTGCTTCCGGAGACCTGCTCTGCACATAGTAACTCCCAGTGGCATTATTGCCTGGTTGAAAGTGATTGGAAGCCCCTGCTTTGTGTCAGTCACTGCCATGTCAAAATTTTAAAATAGGATTAATGTTAACATGATGTGTTCTTCTGGTGAAAGACATTTTTCCTCCTCCTCAGGTTCTAGTGGGATACCTGTGCGGCTGGTCACGAATCTCTTTGGTTTAGATTTGCCCCAGGATTGGCAGCTGTACCAGTACAATGTCACGTACAGCCCAGATTTAGCCTCTAGGAGGCTGAAGACTGCTTTGCTTTATAATCACAGAATAATCCTGGACAAGGCAAAAGCATTTGATGGCACCAGCCTTTTCCTCTCAGAAAAGCTGGACCAAAAGGTACAATGTGGTTAGTATTTCAGCGTGTGTGTGTGTGTGTGTGTGTGTGTGTGTGTGTGTGTACACGCAGGCATGCATGTGCATGCATGCTTGGATGGGTGTATTTGCTTATTACATGTATGTAGAGAATATCATTGGTTTTCATGACAACCTAAAGGAGTGTTTCCATCGCTTCTTAGCTCTTTTCTGCTCCCTGGCTTGAGCTCAGAGGTTTCCTAAGGCATCGTCAGCCATTGATATCATAGGTGAAACTGATGCTCCAGCAGCTAAACATTCAGGAGCTGCAGATTCCTAAGACAGATGTCCTTGGAAACCTTCCCCAAGCAGGTGAGACCTGCACAATCACCATTTCCATGGCTTTGGAGCTACTCAGTCCTCTTCCCCTGCGCAGGGTATCTGTGTGGCCAGATAACTTCACATCAGTTTCTGAATATAGGACCATCATTTCTTTCATCACTCGGTCATAGGCAAGATGAGTGACTGATGCCAAGTCTAAGAGTGTTTGCAAAATGACACCATCGAAGTAGTTCAGTTGCTTTTCTCTTAACCCATTTTCCCCAGATGTTCAACATTGTCAGTCCTCGAATAGATATCAGTATGCATAGTTCTCTCCATATTCTACTTTAAAGCAAGATTAGAATTACTATGAGAAAAAAAAGAATCAGGTTTTAAAAAGTTACACTAGAACACAGAATTAGATCTTTGATAATTCCAGTCAGAAAGCTTAGTCAACGGACTCAACATCCTCAGACACTATGGTGCCAATAATATAGGTAAAAATTGATATAAGATCTCTGTGATCCTACCCAGGTCAGAAACGAGTCTCTGAGTATTTCCTTATCCTTCTTAGGACCTTGAAATGCTTGAAAAATGGTGAGGTCTGATGGCTCAGAGCAGCTGAGCTGTGCATTTAAAAATGTTTTTGTTTCCCTTCAAGTCCTTCGCCTGGTGACACAGGGGTAGCATGCAACGCGTCTTCTTATGTTTACATACTGTATTTCCGGTGTCTTGTCAGGATTAAATCTTGTTCTCAGAGGGACTTTCATAGCAGTAGCTGAGTGGCTTCGGTGGTGTTAGAAGTCACTCGTGTGTCACTGGAGTGGTCTGGTAGAAAAATTCTGTTCTGTATGTTCCAGGAAGATATTAGCATTGGCCACTTCAGTTGAGGACTAGCAGGTCACAGGTGTCCACATATTTCCATGCTGGGGACAGAGTCCAGTGAGGGAGGAGACAGGGGACATGATAGGCTCTAAGACAGAGCATGGGGCTGTTAGCCTTATTCCCAGATCAGGTGATGCTGGGTGCAGACACAAGATTGATGTGGTCCTTGTTTGGTTTATGTCCTGTCCCTGTTCAGTGAGCATCCTAACGATGACACTGCTCTCTGCTCCCCTTTCATTGGACTCGGGCATACTCCTCCACCTCTGTCCTGCCAACCTCCACATTTCTATTGCACTTATTTGGGTTTGAAGAGTCTCTTTGCGGTACATTCTGTTCCTGTCCATACTTTTGGCAGCAGCCTTCCAGTTGCCTCCTGGCCTTCCAGTACTCTCCATACTCGGTCTTCTGGGAAGCACCATCATTCACATCTCTTTGCCACCTTGGTGCGCTTATAAAGAGCCGACTGTATACTTAGTAGGGGGTTAGCACTATGGAGGAAATAAACAACAGGGGTCTTTTCATTTAAAGGCTTTCAGGTTAACGTCAGATTTACAGTTAAACACAGTGTGAGGTAGAATGGCATGGGTGCTTAGTAAGAATGAGCACTGAATTTGTATTTTTATTATGCTACATTTACTTACTAAGCATAGAGTTCTATGCTTCAGCCTCACAAGATTGTCCTGTGTGTGGCTGTTATGTCTATGAGACTCCACGTGTTGACCGTGTGCCCTGCCAGGCTTATAATGATGCTAGGTGCATTAACCCTCATATCACTCCTGGAGCTCATAGCACTGGAGGAGCTTACTCCAAAGTCAGATCTCAGAGCACGATGAGAAGCAGAATCATTCCCTAGCAGGACACTTTGAGGGAATTAGTGTCTTAGGAAAGCTCTTGGGTTCAGAGAGGTGGACAGTGGTGAAGGGCCGAGGCTGAATGACAGAAGTGAGAGGTTTACTTAGCAAGGTGTGGAAGTGGCCCCGGGGGACGGAGAACTTTGAATGTCCTCTTGAACTCAGGGTAGGGAGGAGAGGTTCTCGTTTCTCAGTGGTGAAACACCACAAGAGAGTCTCGCAGTCACATCCTTTTGAAGTTTCCTGAAAAGGGTGGGAGGAGTAATGGAAGAGCCTGGGCAGTGTGTCAAAAGGGCTTGAATACAGATCCAAAGCGTTGTTCTTTATTTGACCTTTGTGGGCGCCTGTGCTCTGCATGAAGATAAGATCCGGAGTGTCCTATTTATCTTCACAATCCTGTAACTTCAGCTGGATTCACCCCCCCACACACACACACACACACTGTAAAGATGCAGGAGAAGCTTCAAGCATGGAGGCAGCTTCCTCAGGTGGCACAGTAGCCTGTAAGAGGCAGCCGCCAGGGTCTCTCTAAGCACCGCGCTGTGGCAGCATCAGAACAGCCGAAATCACTGAGAGGCATTGCTGTGTAGAGGCAGGACACCTGTGGGTTGCTCTGGTCGGGGGTTGGGGGTGGAGGGGCAGAAGAAATGTGCACTGGGAGGTTAACAGCCTGGGGACTGGATGGGGCAGGTCAGGGGCAGATGCAGGAAGTGCTGGAGCTGTTGGTGTTTGGTGAGAGGGGATCAAGGGGTCTGAAGTGTTTGATCTTGGGAGGCTGCTGAGAAATAGTTTCTAAGGCTGCCTGTTGCCAACTCCCTTCAGCTCTCCACCTCACATCCATTGTTCTATACATCCTCTGTCTGCAATCCCTGAGGGGCTGGGGACAGGATGTCCCTTCTGCTCCTGTGGCTGGTACTTACCTCGACCTTGGTGAAGTCTCTGTAGCTGTTGCCATTTCTGTACGAGTCATCTGAGGCCAGGAATCTTCCCCAGTGCAATATCCCACCCCATGCAGAGGGATGAGTTTCTCTTTGCACCTCTGCAGTCCAGTTCCTGCTGTAAAAACTGACACTATAACTAGAAGAAGTTGTGTGAGACTATGCAGATGTTTGTTAATGAGCTGACTGCTAATTCTTTACGCTTTGAAAAACCCCTGATCAATGATTGATTTTTATTGACTGATTTGTGAATGTATTTTAAAAATCTATACTGAACCATGCCTGGCTTAGAGGTAGTTTTTGTTGTTGTGGATGCAAGTGTTCTCAGTCCAGAAGAGGGCATCAGATCCTGTGGAGCAGGACTTACAGGTGGTTGTGGGCAGCCCAGGGTGGGTGCTAAAAACCAACCGTGATCCTCTGCAAGAACAGGGTGACTTCAAAGTCAGCTCTCCAGCCCTTGGTGCCTTAAGGGTTTTGTTTGTTTTTTTTCAGTTGGGGAACTTATATAGAGCCTATCCTTGTGTTCATTGTGTCCCTAAAAGAGTTTCTAGGGGAGCCCCAGGCTTTCACTGGCCCTTTGTAAACGTTTTATTAATAGAATGAAATTTCCCATCCCAGCACCCACATTTTCTCTTCTCCCCTTGTCTTTCTCTTCCTCCTGTCTGACCCTTTTCCCTTGAGCACTTCCCCTCCCCAGCTTTTCTGCTTTGTGAATAAGCTTTTGGAGGAATTTTTCAGGAATTCATGAGGGAATTGGAAGGGGCCAGACAGTCTGCTGCCTCATAAAAATATGTACATGGCTTCTCTGTGTATATGTACATTGGATGTTCTTGAGGGAATGTATGTATCAGACTTCTGATGTAAATTGATCCCTAGATGTAGATTAGATTATTCCACACGCTAACACCTGTAGCAACACTGTTGTTAATGCATGTGTGACTTCTTTATAGTATTTGTGTTCCGCCCACTTGAGGATGAGCTATGCCTTTTGCCCACCCCCTCTCCCCAGGTCACAGAACTGACATGTGAAACTCAAAGAGGCGAGACTGTAAAGATAACTGTCACTCTAACGAGCGAGCTGTTCTCAAGCTCTCCTGTGTGCATTCAGTTCTTCAATGTCATCTTCAGAAAGTAAGTTGCTTGGCCTTTCGGCATACAACCTGGGTTTTGGTGTGATCACCTTCTGTGCTGGGTGGCTGATGGGCCAGCAGCAGCCTCTCTGGGATGATGTTTCCCAGACGATGAACGGATGTACTCTGGCAGTAAGATGGGACACATCTCGGCCACTCTTTGGCCCAAATCCTCATTATCCAGCCTTCCCCCAAAGTTAGTCCACATTGTTTTTAGCCTTTCCTTCATTTCCTGTGCACTGCCCCACTCTGACCCTAGACTCAATTTACTGAGTAGGAATTCGCCAGATGACAAATTTGGTTCTCCACTAGCTGGCTGGCTTGGGACATAGAAGTCAGTCACTAGCTGTGTTCTGCTCTGGCTCCTTCTCAAGCCCCATAGCTTTCTTCACAGCATGAGTAGGGGAAGGGGAGTGGTGTGTGCTTTTGATGTCCTTTAGAATGGACTGGGGAACATGTGGTACACAGTTACCATGGGAATGTAGGGATTTGACCAAATACAGAATCCCTGGGCCCTCTCTTTACTTAACAGCTTTTCCATTGGTAGGGTCTGGAGGTGAAGAAACAAAAACTGAGCAAAGCCTCCCTGGTGACAAGTGAATCGTCGCACATAGCATTTTTTGTGTGTCAGGATGATGTGTTTGGTCCCTTGTTGCAGAGATGCCACCCTTTTGCCTAACAGCAGACTGAGGGGGAGGAGGCCAGGAAGTGTGGGGCTTTCCAGAATATTTGGGCCCAGAAAATAACTTCCTTCTTCTACAATATGCTATTTCTTAATGTTTGACCCTCTGTGCCCTAGTGAGGGGACTATTCTACATCAGCTGGCATGTGGAAGGTGCTTTCCACAGAGTTTTACCATACTGTCCCTTGCTCCCTGGAGCAGGCATTGTTACACAGACTTTATATGGGAGACTGGCCTCTGTAACAGCAGCAGCCAGATCGCCAGAGCTGGTGCTCCTGTGTTCTGACTCAGGCTGTGCACATTTCCCCATAGGCAACACCCCTTCCCAGAGGTGACCAGAATAGAAGGCTGCTGATAGTGTCACTATGCTGTGGGGCACCCAGGGAACTGGAGTAGTTTATCAAAAAATGGCCTCCCCCTGAAATAGGGAGGGAGTCAAAAGAGCCCCATACATGGCTTGCCTTATTGTTAAAGTAACCTAGAATTCTAATTATACAGAATTGACGGTATTACTTCAATTAAGTGTATGAAAGTGGCAACTACATTATTTTAAAGTATGAAATTATAGTTACTACAGAGATATACTCATATATGTAGTATTCTAGTTGTGTGTGTTTTGTGTGTGTATTTGTGTACACACGCTTGCCCTGGTTTGTGTGTAGGTCAGAGGACAGCCTTCTCTGTTGGTGCTTTGTATGATTCTCATTATTACTGGGTGCTACTTATGCCAGTCTGGCTGGCCCGTGAGCTTTAAAGGGCTCTGTGTCTTCTTCCCATCTCCCCATTGGAGGACTGGGGTTACAGATGTATGCTGCTGTGTCCTGCTTTCCATGGCTTTGGAGATCCAGGCTCAGACAGACCTTTATGTGACAGTCACTTGATTCACTGAACTATCTCCCGGCCCCCAAAGTTGAATTACACTGTTATGACCATTTACTAAGGAATCCAAAACTGTGCTTCCAGGATCTTTAAAAAGTTGAGTATGTACCAAATTGGACGGAACTTCTATAAACCTTCAGAACCAATGGAGATCCCCCAATACAAGTAGGTTTGCTTGTAGTTTCTGTTCCTGTGAAATGGTTAGATATAAGTGGCATGATTTATGAGACTGTACCCCGCTGCTGGGCCTCCTGTGGGGTGTGGGGTGTGGGGTATCTGGAATATGGAATGCAATGGGGTTTGTACTTTTCAAGTGTTGTGTTTTGTTTTGCTTTGTTTCTGGGAACAGTGAACCCGAATGTGAAGCTAGACAAAGTTTGTGTTCTTTGGTTAGTGTGCTATGTCATAAAATTCCAGAAGGGATTCAGAACCCAATTGTCTGTGGGTAGCCAGCAACCAAAGCAGAACATTTTGTGCTGGAACACATCTGGTACCCTGTGCCCTCACTGGATGGATGTTAGCACAGCTAGGGTGGCTGACAGGGTCTGGTGAGCATCCTACAACCTCCAGGACAGCTCCTGCGAGAAATACAGGGTCCAACGTGCCAGAGCTCGGCTTGAAATTCTGAGTCACAGGAATTTTGTTCTAAATCTATGTTTAAAGAAACTCCAGCTGAAAAAAACGCTAATGTTTTCAGTCAGTAACTGGAATAAATGACACAAAAGAGAAAACAAAAACAGAAAAACATGACCTCCAGAGAATTAGCATGAAAACTCACCGTGTTAAGAGTCCTTATAGGTTTTTCTGGTTTTATATTTTAAATATTAAAAATATTGTTTCCATTGTTATTTTTTGAAGATTGTCCCTATGGCCTGGGTTTGCCATCTCTGTGTCCCGCTTTGAAAGCAGACTTCTGTTCAATGCTGACGTAAGCTACAAAGTCCTCCGAAATGAGACTGTTTTGGAATTCATGACTGATCTCTGCTTCAGAACCGGCATGTCCTCCTTCACTGAGGCATGCCAGAAACAGCTAGTGGGGCTTGTTGTCCTTACCAGGTAATAGCTGGCCCCTGACTGTTATCTAGAATGGACATTTTTAGGAGTGTTTGGGATCCAGAATGTCACTGTCAGATTGGCAGAGAACTTGGCTTGACAATTGTACACGTTTGTGTGTGTGTGTGTGTGTGTGTGTGTGTGTGTGTGTGTGTGTGTGAGAGAGAGAGAGAGAGACTGCGACTTGGTTTGGCCATGTGGAAGGCTTATCTGTCCCCTGTTGTCAGAACTGACTCTGGATCATCCCAAGTCAACATGGCTGTATGTGTTCTCTTTCACCTGGCCCTCAGTGGCCTGCACTGTGCTGTTCTAGAATCTCTGCCTGGTTCCCAGTGTCTAGTTCCCCTTTCAGATCTCTACCTCCTCAACCCTCACTCTAGAGTTCCCAGTGGCCCACTTTCCACTCTGTAAGAACCATCCACCCTCCTCTGGCCACGCCCTGTAGTGTTTTGCTTAGGGCCACCATTTCATGTCCATTTTGTTGTGCTACAAGACCAGTGTGTATTCCACTGTGGTCCCTTTGAGATTCCAAGGCCATTTAGACAAAGGGCAGGCTTCACTCCTTTTAGGTTTATCACTGTGATTTACCCTCAGTGAACAATGACCAGATCAAACACTGGTAGCTGAGGAGTCTTCCTGGGTTCTACAAGCTTGTCAAAGGCTGGTTCCTTTCTGGACCGCCCCAGTGACTAGCCTGGTCTGAACTTTCATCTTAGAGCTGGTTTCCTGGGCTGGACGGGAGCAGGGCAGCCCAGCCAGGTGTCACTTTACCAGACACAGAAAAGCTCCTCCTGTCTGCCCTTGATTCATTAGCTTACCACACTATTTCAGAGATGCCTTATAAGGTCCCTGGAGCTCTGGAAAACTGTCTTGAGGTCTCTTTTGCAGGCCAGGGCACCAAAGAGCATAGTACTAAAGGGAGAAAGGTGTTTGGAATGGCGTAGCCCACTGGTTCCTAAGTGTTGCTTGAGGGTCAGTTCAAGGACACAGATTAACTTAACATAAGATGCCAGAATTGTGTGAATGGCCTGCTGCATCGGTATTTTTTTTTTTTATCATAAAGACTACCTGGGAGTTGACAGTGAGGCCAGGGAGAACATGGAAACAGAATGACTTACCAGAAGCCAGAGTCTGTCCATGAGACAAACACTGTGGGGTATGACTCGCCACAAACGTCTGTTGGAACGTGGAGATTGTCCTGAGTACTGAAGAGTTCACACTCTTCTCAGCTGAGAACTGATCACATAGCACAAGCCTGTGACTCTGTTTATAGTAGTGTCTTGCACAATCTCAGGAGTGGGTTTTGTATTTTGAATTAACTCAAGATTGTGGTATGGTAGCCCCGTGCACCCAAGTTGATTTGGCAAAGTGTTTCAGAGTGTCTCAACTTCACCAGATACAACAACAAAACATACCGTATTGATGACATTGACTGGTCTGTGAAGCCCACACATGCCTTTCAGAAGCGGGATGGCTCTGAGGTCACGTATGTGGATTACTACAAGCAGGTAGGAGTTCCTCCTGTCTCTTTTCCTCGTTGCCTATAGATAGCATTTTTTTTTTTTTTTTTTTTTTACTGTTTTAGCTACTTTTCTTGTGGTTACGACCTCTCAGACAACACTCCTCCTTCCAGAGAATTCCCTGAACTGTCAGGGCGAGTCTGTCTCCGATGTAACCCATTCTCTTGCTTATCCCTTTTCACCCTCATTGTCTCTGGTTTGGCTAAGACCCTTACTCCGCTCCTATTTTCTTTCTTCCTTCTGGCCTTAAAACCGTATCTGATCATGTTACACCCAAGCTTTAATATTTCCATAACTTCATTGTCTTAGGAGTCAGTTGTAAGCTTCCTCATGGAGTTCTGGTCTGGCCTTTGCAGTCACACACACATACACACACACACACACACCTCTATCTCTGCCTCCATCTTCCATCCCCATTCCTTGTGCTCGGAAGTTCTGGCCTTTTATGGCTCTTGACTCAGTTTCTCTCCTTGCATGCTCATGCACATTGCTTCCTTTTCCTGGATAGTCCTTTAAGCCAGACAAGCCCTGACCAACCTTCTGTTCTCAGCCAGGCAGCATGTCCTCTGGGAACCTATGGTATAGATGCAGGAGGTATCTGATCCCTGAATTTAGCCTCATTGTTGGGGGTAGGGCATGACAGACTGCCCTCCCCAAGGAGGGAGACATTTGTCTCCTCAAGTTATGCTTTGAACTCTTTTGGGTGCGGGGGGGGGCAGTTCACCTTGGGTTATCAGTCCCATCTCATAGCAGACACGTAGGAGCAATTTTGGCAGAGTGTTTAGCTGCCTCTGGAAGTTCTGTGTTCATTTACCACAGTTCCATGGCCCTTGCTTTGCAGGCATCTGGCAGAGGTGTCTTCTCTGTAGTCATTCAGACCTCTCAAGTCTCACAGAGGAATTCAAAAGCAAAATGAGACTCGTATCCTTGATCTTCACATATCTTTTGGAAAAGTTCTCTTTCTCCTTAGCCACTTTTGGAAAATGGCTGTGGTGGTTCCAAGTCCTCCTTAGTTCTTCTTTTCAGAGGTATTATTGGCCATGCAACTGGCTTTGCTGTTACAGAAATAGCTCCATGAAGGTCAGAAATCACACAACCTTTCTTAGCCTAAGTGGCTTTCAGTGGCTTTCTTTTTTCTTTAGCAGTAATTATTTTCTTTCTTCATGTGTAGATAATTACACATCTCCATGATGTATATTTGAGACACAGAAAGACACACACTATACAGTTTTTCTTTGGGATCTGAAACACTTGGGCTTATTGACTTAGCCAGTGGATCAGGTTGCCGGAAGCCATAGAGGGCAGAGTGGGGGAGGTGTGACAGAGACTAGCTGTTGGAGAAAGTCTCAGGCAGACAGGAGGAATGCATTCTGCTATTCCATACTACGGGGAAGGCTGACTAGAGTTTACAGTACTGTATTGTACATTACAATGACATCAGATCTCTGTGAACCTGTCCACCCATCTGAACTGATCCCTTCCTTCCTTCCTTACTGCTGGGTCACATCCTTTGTGGTTCTCCTCTTGAATTTTCATGTTGATCTGTGTTAGTCTCTTTTGACATTTTTTTTTTAATTTCCTTCTCCTCAAGAACCATCATTCACTATGGCTTCTACAAGGCTGCTCTCTCCATTGTAGTTTGAGACTCAGACCCAGAAATTTTGCTTTGCTCCCTGTCTTAGTCAGGCTTTCTCTTGCTGCATTTAAACATCATGACGAAAAAGCAAGTTGTGCAGGAAAGGATTTATTTGGATTTTACTTCCATATTGCTTTTCATCACCAAAGGAAGTCAGGGCAGGAACTCAAACAGGGCTGGAGCCTTGAGGCAGGAGCTGGTGCAGATGCCATGTAGGGGTGCTGCTTACTGGCTTGCTTTCTCTGGCTCGCACAGCCTGCTTTCTTATGGAACCCAGGACCACCAGCCCAGGGATGGGACTACCCACAATGGGCTGGGTCCTCCCCCATCAATCACTAAATAAGAAAATGCCCAACAGCTATATGGAAGCATTTTCTCAGTTGAGGTTCCATCCTTCAGATAACTCAAGCTTGTGTGTTAGGTTGTCATTAGGTCAAGCCAGCTTGTCAGGTGTGCTGGCATATGCCTGAAATCCCAGTATTCTGGCAGGCAGAGGCAGGAAGATCTCTGTGAATTTGAGGCCAGCCTGGTCTACAAACCGAGTCCAGGATAGCCAGGGCTACACAGAGAAACCCTGTCTCAAAACAAACAAACAAAAAAACAAAGAAAGAAACAAAGAAAACACCCCACAAAAAAAAAAAGAAGAAAGAAAAGACTAGCCAGCATACCCTTATTCTCGCATTACACACTCACTTCCATTTCTTAAACATATTTTCTGCCTGAGTGACCTGTGGCTGTCTCAGTCAGCTATCTTTTACTCCCCCATTCCTCCTTAGGATTGTGAGTCTGGGCTGGAAATTTTTTTCACTTTTTTTCCTTCTCCTCTTGCCCTCACCTCCTCATTCAGCTGTCATCCCAGATGTGCTGTCTACACTAAGCATCACATTCTCTCTAGAGCACCTGCCTTAGCCCACTGCATTAGGGTGGGACCCCACTCGGGTAGGTAATGTGGTCAATACTATGGTCTCCTGGCTTTGCCTCTATCCTCACTGTCTCTGCCATTGGAGAGAGCATTCTGTGAATATCGCCCAGTGATATGGTTAAGGACATAAGTTTTGAAGTGAGAAAGGCATGGCTCTAGCTGTGTAGATTAGGCAAAGCACTAAAATCAGAGCTCAGTGAGGGGCCTAACTAAGCTCACTGTCACAGGGCCATCTGCCTTTGTGGAGTAGTGTACTCAATGAGCCAGTAACTCCGGGCCTTTAGCCTAATGCCTGCAAGGCGTGAGCCAGGCAGGTGGTGGAGAGCCTTGCCGCCCTCCTCTTCGCCATGTCTAGAATCACAGCTTGACTCATCCCACCTCTTGGCCTCATCTCCCTCAGCATTCCTCTCTCCTCACTTAATCTCTCCATCTGTATCCCTGTCTACTAGCTAGTCATAACTGGCCTAGTCTTCATGCATGTTCCCTGGATAGCTGCATGGAGCCAAACTGTGCCTTTCCCCTCTCTCTAGGACAGATGGTAGCTTCAGGATCAGCTGTTACCTTGTCTATTACAAATTTTCAGGCTTTACTTTCTTTCACTAGAGCAAAAGGAGAGCAAGCACCTGCCTGCCCAGGGTATCACATTGTCCCTAGGCACATTTCCTTGGAGCAGAGATGGCCTTGGGAATCCTGGCTGCACAGTCGCTCGTAAGCCATCTTGTGCACAGTGTGCGCTCTTGAGTGTGTGCATTAAACCTGTACCTTGTTTAGTGGTTGGGCTTCTGCACTGCATCAGTAAATTGAACAGATGTATTTTAGGCCCTGTCATTTCCTAAAAGGGGCAAAATCGGAGGACCCGGTCGGTCCACTTTTGTAGTAAGTTGGCATGCTCTATGTAGTTAGGGAGGAAAGGAAACAAAATCATATCAGATTGCAAAACGTCCTCCTATCTGAACTGGGAGATGTACACTAAGTTTCTATGTAATCAGCTTTCAAAGTAGAAAACAGCATCTTATGAAAAAAATATTTGAAAACTCCTAGAAAATTGGGGCCAGGGAGAAGGTGAAATCTACCTTAGGATGGCCACTTCTGGAACGCTTGCCCCTGCTTTGTGAGTAGAGACCCTCTTTTCTTCTTTTTAATTTTTTATTTATTACAATTTATTTACTTTGTATCCCCTCCCCCATCACCTCTCAGTCCTGCCCTCTCTCCGTTTTTTTTGAAGTGGACTGGGTTTGGAGACTTGTTCTGTAGGATGCTATTACTCTTGGCTGTTCTCCAGTCTTGGACTCTGCCTCCTTCATAAAGCTCCCCTGACTTACCAGCTCAAGCATCGCACCCCGTAGTTACAGGTTAAATCCCAGATCTGCAGCTGTGGAGCCTTCAGGAACCTGTCTGATTCCTCACTGCTTTGGTTGTGAGGAACCATGCTTGGGTCTGTGCTGTTGGTGTGGTCTGTTGTGGGTGGCTTTGCTATGTAGATAATGTGGTTACCAGGGACTGTTTTTCTTCTATTTCTGTGTCCACCTCAGTTCCTGAGAGGAAGAAAGTGCTCCAGCCTCCTATACTGAATTAATGAAGTTTCGTATAGACTCTATTGATAAAGGCTTCTCTGAGCATTTTCCCACAGCATTCCCATAACTGTATCCTTGTATTCCTGAATTGTTTTTTATTTTATAAAATAAAAATTGTTATTGAGCCAAAGGCTACACACAGAAATCCTGTCTTGAAAAACAAAAAACAAACAAAACAAACAAAAAAGGCCTTATTGGACTAGAGACAAGTTTACATCTTAAGTCCTTAATTATAATTATAATAGTTAGTATTTTTTAGACGATGATTTTATAATTCTGGTCCTATCACTAGTTGTACTGGAAGCTAGTATTAGTTATGATTTGCCTATAGAAATGAATTTCTGGCAAGGGGAAATTCAAGTTTAGGAAGGGGAAGGAGTGGAGTATGACCAGACAGTACTGAGGATCCATCATAAACCACACACTGAGATACTTGTGAACTGCTGTCACCCTCATTTCATAGAAGAAGAAAATTGGACAGAAGAGCTGGGTATCAAATTCTTCCTTGTCAGTTCTGAGCTGCTTCTCTTTCCCTGATACACAGTGCCATCCTGGGTATCAAAGACTCTTTTGTTCCTTTGGAAAACTGAGCACAGTATAGCCTATGCCTACAACTTGTGTATGGGCAGTGTTAAGTTGAGTTAAGATAGTTTGAGCCAGTTATTTAAACATGTGCTTCAGTCGTCTATAGTATGTACACAGACAGTTCAATGCTGTTCTGAATCTGGAAGAAAACCAGAGGAAGCAGAGGAATTAAGTCTTAAAACTGGTGCTGCAATATAAAGACTAATAAAGGGCCAGTGAGATATCTCAACAGTAAAGACTCTCTGCCAAGCCTGACTGATTTGAATTTGAATTTGTAGGATTCAAATAATGGAAGGAGACAACAGACTCCACAGTTGTGTCATGACAGACACATTTACACACACACACACACACACACACACACACACACACTACACTAAATTAAAATGTAACTAAAAATAAAGGATAATTAAAGGTATAAAAAGATGAGTCCTGGAAAGAAAGTTGTATGGTGTGTAAAAAGATTTACTTAGTGACTCATTTGGGGGTTTGTGCTGCTTGTAACCAAGAATGCCGCTGCTCTGTATCCACATTTGTTGTCCCCTCATTAATCTTCTATTTTATAGCAATATGATATCACTTTATCTGACCTAAATCAGCCAGTGCTTGTTAGTCTGTTGAAAAGAAAGAGAAATGATAATGCTGAGCCTCAGATGGTCCACCTGATCCCGGAGCTCTGCTTTCTCACAGGTAAGGCTTAGGTGTCAAACTTCACTGCCTGCCTTAGTTAGCTAAACACTAAAGTGTTCCTGTAACTAAGAGGCAAGGGGCCCTTCAAGTAGCTTGGGGCAATAGTTCAGCCAAGAGAGTGAGTGAAGTGACCTTTGGAGTCTCTTTTCTTTCATACATTCTCCTTGAAACCCTGATGTCAGATCTGCGTCTGGGTAATTTCTGGAGGCTGAACTGTTTTTTTTTTTAAGCTTAATAGTAGAGGAAATCATAAGATGACATTTAAAAAACAAACAAATAGGCTATTTTGTCAGGGTGAATCAGAATAACCCTTAGTTTCTTCATGTACCAGTTTCCAAAAAGCAATTCTCACTCTATAGTAGAGCCTGCCTGAGGGTCATTCAGTGTGTAGCAGAGGCTGCCTGTCAGATCACACTCTATAGTAGAGCCTGCCTGAGTGTCTGCTGTGCTGTTAGCAGCACTCATGTGATTAACAGCCTGTGTTGCTTGAATTCCTTATGACATAAATATTTTGTGGACAGACAGTAATGGAATACAGTGTCTGAAAGGAGGGGTGTTCATTCTTAGTGGTTTTTTTTTGTTGTTGTTGTTGTTTTTTTTTTTGGAGGTTCTGCAGATCTAACTGACATGTAGTCCCTGGCCATAATACTAGATCCTTCTCCCAATAAAGGGAAATAATATGAATGAAAACACACAGGCCAAATCCTGAAGACTTAGTATTAAAAATATTAACTGGATAATAATTGTTTATATCTATTCCATTTTAAAATATTGATATGTTTAATACACTGGATTAAGTAATACTCCTTTAAATAATTTCATAAACTTCATTTCACCTTTTTTAGAAAGTTGACTACTAGAAAATTTATTTTAGACTTAAGATTTATGCATCTCTCTCTACCTATTTATTCATTTATATGTAAGTGCATTGGTATTTTGCCTGCATGTTTGTCTGTGTGATGGTGTTAGATGCCCTGGAGCTGGAGTTATAGACTGTTGTTAGCCACCTGCGGGTGCTAGGACTTGAACTCAGGTCCTCTGGAAGAGCAGCCAGTGCTCTTAACTGCTGAGCCATCTCTCTAGCCTCAAGATTTATTTATTTTATTATTTTATGTATACAAGTGTTTCACCTGTGTGCATCACATGTGTTTCTGGTGTCCAGGGAAGGCAGATGAGGGTATTGAATCCTTTAAAATTGGAGTTACATATGGTTGTGAGCTATGTGTGTGCTGTAAATTAATCCTGGGTCTTCTGGAAGAGCAACAAGTGCTCTTAACCACTCAGCCATGTCTGCAGCCCAAAACTTCGTCATAAAAAAAAAAAAAAAAAAAGATAGTTTCACTATGAGTAGGCTGGCCTAGAACAACTGAATGCTGGGATTATAGGTGTGTGCCACCACACTCAGCTATTAGAAACTGTTGCCATGGTTCTCAGTCTGTGGGGTCACATATCAGATAGCCTGAATATCAGATGTTCACATTACAATTCATAACAGTAGCAAAATTACACTTATGAAGTAACACCAAATAATTTAAAAGGTCCCAGCCTAATTAGGAAGGGTGAGAACCACTGTGTTAATGACTCCTGGGGCTTGCCTCTCTACTTCTCAGTGCTCTGCAAGTGGGCCCTTTGTCTGTGTTCATTCTCTACATTGTTTTTGCCTCTCCCAGGCCTGACTAGCCAGGCAACCTCGGACTTCCACCTGATGAAGGCAGTAGCTGAAGAAACTCGGCTCAGTCCTATGGGAAGACAGCAGCAGCTGGCCCGACTTGTGGATGACATCCAGAGGTACAGGGCCGCCTGTTGAAACCGTGTGTGCCCAGTTTGGGGCTGAGTACGTAGGGCTGGATGCTTCTGATGATATTCTGCTCATTGGTTGATGAAAATGTCTAATCTTGCCAACTCAGAGTAAGGCATTGTGGGCTTGAAACATCCAAGTCCAGAGCCCAGAGGTCCAGCCAAGATCTCGGCAGTCATAGCTGATAGGATTTGAACAGGCACAGTTCTGTTCTAGAGAGCGCATTGCACTCTGGGTGACAATTTTGGATGAAGAAAATGAGTATTGGTCATATTAAAAACAGGAAATAGAAACAAAAACAACCAAAGAACATTTAACTTGAGGTGAGGGAAGCTCAGATCCTGATGAGAATTTCAGAAATCCAGATGAACACAATCTCTGAAGTTCAAGCTCTGTTCTCCTCAGCTAGTCTCTGCGAGTTCTTCTCCCTTCTCCCTAAAGCTGTGCTGTTAGGCACTGTGACCCTGTGTGCTGAGGGGCACTGAAATGTTCCTGTTGACACATTTTAAGCTGGTAACATTTTGAAGATGTGAGATTAGGCAAAAGTAATTTTAAAAAAATCACTTCTTAACTGTTAATGCGGCTGCTAGAAAATTTTAAATTGAATTTGCTGCTTGGTTTTAAATTTCTGTGGGTCGTTTTTCTTTAAAGATGTTTTTAAGTAATATTAGGGCAGGGAGAAATTTGAAAAACAATGTAAACAAAATAAAAAAGAGAAAAGGTAGAGAGTAGTCTAATATCTAACAGCGAATGATCATATTCTAGTAAATATATTTTAATTAATGATCATAGTCCAGTGAATAATATGTTTTGAAAAATGATATTTCAGTGAATAATATACTTTGCAGATATTACAAATTGATAGGGTCTAATGCCATTACTTCAAGAAAATGACATAGTAGACACATTTTCTAATATCACTCATTTAGAGGTTTTTGTCTGATAAATGCACATCTGTATTACACTCCTGGCTTTGTGGTTCCTCCATTGTGGATACAATTTTTCCCACATCTTGTGGATATCACCTGATGAATGCCTGCGTCATACAAAAGAGATACTGTTTGGCTCCTTAAACTGGGCTGTGAATTAGTTCCCTGACATGTTACTGCATGCCTCCTGTTCATCGTGTCCTGGCCAGTGATGGCCTCACCCATCCTGGGCCAACAACATCAGAAACAAAGTAGCAGCTGAAAGAATAGATGTGAGCACAGCCTTAGCTTATTGAAAAGTTGCCCTGTTGAGGAGGGACAGCTGGGAGAGGTTTATGCTTTCCAAGGAATGGGGTGGGGCTTTCCACAGCACTCAGCAGCATCCTGTAGGCCTCTGGCTGATTGTGGCTCTGTGTGGCTCTGTGAAACACACCCTATCATGATCCCACTGAGCCGTAAACTACAATTAAAGCCTCCTGTGTCAAAAATTCGGAGATTATAGGAAGGTTAGTAATCAGTATTGATAAGATTAGCTTCCTCAGTCCTCTTCCCAACAAGTGTGTCCTAGGAATTTTCTGGAGCTAAATTTTTGTATTAAAATGTTTAGTATTTAATACTTCCGTGTCTGTGAAAAGTATACACGTGTAATGTTCTTTGATCGTAGTCCCTGTTGTTTGTTGTCTTTTCCTCTGCCATGCAACCGTATCTTCTCATGAAGTCCTCCCCCCACACTTCCATGCCCTTTTGATGTCCCATTGCATTTAATTGGGGTTGCCTACAAAAAGCGGGGTTATTTGAGCAAGGATGATTTAACCTCAGTCTACACCACCGAGGAATATGAGTCTCCCTTGTCCAGCAGCCATTAACTACCCAAAGCTCCAGGAGGAGGACGAAGTCCCCTGAGCTCCTCGCCCACCCATGCTGATGGCCCAGTCTTGGGCCCACCCCTGCAGTGACGTCATGGGTACAACAGCTCAGTCTTGTCTGGAAGATAAAGCTCAGTTCCGACCTTCCCATTTTCTGTCGTTCCCCATCTGCTCCCAAGCCAACACATTAGAAGAGAATCTGCATATTCTCTGAATATCTGCATATTCAGACTCCAAACAAACTCCAGTTTGTTCTAGGATGGTATCTTACCTCTATTGGCAACCGCAGGCAGCCCTGTGGTAAGGCATTTTCAAATCTTGCCATTTTTTAATGTTTACAGGTGTGTGAAACAATATCCACACTTTGCCTGCCAGGAAGCCAAGGCATTTGAAAAATAGTAACAGTTTTTCTCCAGGGCATCTGTTACTGAAGGGTAGATACAAAGTGAAGCTGGGTTTTCCTTGGAACCCCTGCCTCACTGTGAGTGACCCTTTCCCCCTAGGAACCCCTGTGTCCTATGCAAGCCTCCCCTCCTTCCTGTTCTTTGGAGACACTGGTTGACATAATTCTTTTGAGCTGCCAGATTATCTGTGTGTCTGTCTGTCCATCTACACACACACATCTACATATATATAACATATATCATGAAAATTAGGATAGACCATCACCTTGAATAATTCAGCAAGTCACTATTATCTCTGATATTTAAAAACCTTTAGCAGACACACTCTGCATGACTCTGTTTACAGGAACCAAGGGGCCCGATTTGAGCTTGAGACCTGGGGATTGCGTTTGGGAAGCCAGATATCCTTGAACGGCCGGGTGGTTCCTGCTGAAAAAATACTGCTGCAGGACCACACAGTGAGCTGCCTTCTCTCTTCATTTGACAGTGTTTGCTTGAATATGTGTACATTTGTTTACTCGCCAAGGTGATGGATGGGCTTGTCATCACCTTGTTAGGCCATGCCCTGCCTTTGTCCTAAGACTTCATGTTTCTTTTGATTTTCTCTTTGATGTCAGTTTAGTTGTGTGGACTTAAGGGCATCCAGTGGGCATGGTTTAGGACTGTTTGTGATTGGTATTTCAGAGTCACACATTGCAAGTTACACATGCCTGCCTATGACCAGCTGTCACTCTTACAAAACTAAAAGCAAACAAGCAAGCATGATCTGGTAAAGGGTGACCATAGCTAGCACTGGCCAGTTTCACATAAAAGCTATGCGAGTCATATAGACCTCATCCTTGACACAGTGCTTGGACAGAAGTGCGCTGAGATATGAAGAGAAAAATCACCCTCTATCCAGGCTTTGGTCGAGGAAATGAAACGGGTATCAAAATGGAGAGGCCACTTGACTTCAGTGTCAGCTTCTTGACCCATGCTTTTCTAAGGCCAGACCCTAGGGACCAAGTGAACTAAAGGTAGTGTAGGCACTTTGTCCTAGGCCTTGGTCACCACGGGATGACAGCAGCAGTGAGGTAAGTGGGCAGTTCTGCACACTGGAATGAACTTGGTCCCCAGTGGAATCACTTAGAGGCCAGCCTTCCTTTCTGTTGGTGTGTTAAGGTCTCCCAGCCATATACCTCATGCAGGTGGCAGTGGCTAGAACTCAGTGCTTGATAAAGTCCCTTGGCTGTGACAAAGCCACTGGCATTCCAAACTTGTCCTTGCAACCACCTGGCTGTCAGCACCTCTCTCCACTAGCCGGGTGTTTTTGAGTCTGTAAAACTGTGAGAAGCATCACATTGCTCCTGCAACACGAATGGCCTCAGTGCTGGGGCGATGGTTCAGTTGGACCTGAGCTCAGGTGTCTAGCACCCATGTAAAGCTAGATGCAGCAGCTTGCACCTGCAATCCTAATGCCAGGACTCAGAGGCAGGGGGATCCCTAGGGCTTTCAGTCTTTGAGTTGTGGCCTTTGAGCACACATGAACACAAAAGCACGTGCACACAAATACAATGCCTACAAATACACACACGAAACCACTTTTGGCGTCATTGTTAATCTTCCATGTAGGTAAACATGGACATGAGACTGTTCCTCACTAAAACAGGCTTAATTCACTACAGCATGTAGGGTGTCAGTAGTCATTACGTTGAATGCCTTAGGGACTCTAAAAAGGATAGTCTGCATGCCTGAACGTCCAAATGAAAGGATCAACAGTTAGAGGTAAGGGGGAACCCCAAGGCCTCTCAGCCAGGCACCAGGAACGTACATGTCCCATCCTAGGGTCCCCAGCCAGGGCCCATCAGCCCTCACAGCCTCCCAATGCCTCTCCTCCTGGGAAACCCATGTGCTCTGTTAAGAGGAACAAAGCCTCGTTTGTCTTTCAGTTGTTGTGTTGTGATGAATGTTTTAAATCACTCTCTGAATGACTTTGCTCGGTCCTTTCATCATCTTGGTTTTTCTCAGTGCCAACCTGCATCTGCTGCTGACTGGTCCAGAGAGATGCGAACTTGCAAGGTGTTGAGTTCTCAGCCTTTGACTAGGTGGTTGATCTTATGCTGTACCCGGGCTGAGCACTCAATTGAAGCCTTTCTGAGCTGCTTGAGGAGAGTTGGGAGCTCCATGGGCTTTAATGTGGACTACCCAAAAATGTGAGTACATAGTCAATTTTTTTAATATATTAATTTTGTTTGAAAGTTGGAAAGACTGCCTGGCATATCTACAAAATGCTCATTTTTATAATGTCCTTTTTAAAAAAGATTTATTTTATAAACTGATATGTATGAATGTGTACAGCTATAACCCCGTGGGTGGGAATGGCCATGGAGGGCAGAGACTTCAGATCCTCCAGAGCTGGAATTAAAACTGGTTTTGAGTTACCCACTGTGGGTGCTAGGAAATGAATCTCAGTACTCTGCAAGAAAAATATATGCTCTTAACTTCTGAACTATGTGTCCAGGCCATCAGAAATATTTCTTGAAAGGTCAAAAATAGTCACAAGAAGTTAGACTTTTATTTATTAAATTGCTTTGTAAAATGAAAATATATAAAGAACTGGACAATCTTCCGGAGGACCAGGCTCAATTCCCAGTACCCACGTGGCAGCTTACAATTATGTAACTCAAGTTCCAGGGGATCTGAAAACTTTTTCTTGACTGTAAGGCACCTGGCACACATGTGGTGCCCGGACATTCATGCAGGCAAAACATTCATATACAAAAAACAAGAATAAGTAGATCTTAAAGAACCCTACTGTACATTTTATTTTATCTTTTTAAAAGTCTGTTTTATAGTTTTCCTAGGCATGTCTCATTCCCTCAGAATCTTTTACTGTCAGTTGGTTATACATCCTGGATAAGTCCATGTGGTGCCATTTCTACTTTTAACCTTTCGGGTCAGTTACTTATAAAACTTAACAGCAAACATGATATTAAAAAGTAAACATTGCAGAGCCAGGAATGAAGAAGATAAGGACTTGGCAAATGTCCTTCATGATTGCAGACACAGTCAAGGCTCTAAACCTAGTTTGCCATGAATTGTCCACATCTCATATGAACTTGATATATTTGTAAAGAGCAAGGCTCACCTGTTCATACGTCTTGTGGAAGTTATATTCCTTAAATAGACAGCAACTAATCAATTACATCAGCAGCATATGCACTGTCCAAAACCACAGCTTTCCCCAAAGTCTCATTTTCCATACACCACATTTAGAATTCTACTCTTACCATCGAATCTGCTGACAAATTGTCTGGTTTGAGTTTCCCTTACTCTAGTGTCTCTAAGCTAGGAGTTAATGCAGCAGGGAAGGATGGTAGAAGTCACATTCAGCAGACCTGGCTGGTAGGACAGTCCTGGGCCACACAGTCAGTCCTTGGGCTTGCTTCAGGGAGCAAGCCTGTGGATAGTCTTTGGACTGTTTTGTTCTTTTGTTTTTATTTTTTATGAAAGCCTTTATTCCACTTCCTCTGATCCATGAAGTATCCATTTGCCCGCTAGATGTACATGCTTGGCTTTTTCATCTAAACTGCCCATCTGGTGAACATAAGTGTGTCTGAGCTGGAGTATGAGGGTTGGAAAAGTCAGACCTACAGAAGCACTAAAGCAGTGCTTGCAGTCCTTCAGGTGGCTGTCAGAAGAGGCAGGAAGTCCTGCCACCTGCTGGGCAGCTGTATTTAAAAACACAGCTAGACACTGAGACTCCCACCCCCACCCTGTCTATCTATTTCCCTCCCCACCCCACCTCGTGGGGAGTAGGTAATTTCATTTCCTGTGTAGACTAGATTGGAAATGCCTGTATGTAGGAATCACTTCTGCAGCCTCTGGCTCCAATACTATTATGTAACTGACAAATAGTTGCCGACTGATAGACTGATTAAGTCTGATTAGTGTGAGCTCCAAACAAGCTCCTACATAAGAGCAAACACCACCCATGACTCATGCAGATTAGTCAAACCTCTGTCATCAATTAATGATTCCTGAAGCATTTTGGAAATCTCATTCCCAGTTTAGATATTTGAAATTGTGGGTTTGTAATTTCAGAAGTTCACTTTTAGCCCAATTTTGAATAGCAAAACTGAGGGGATTTTGTACAACTGGGAAAGTTGTATTTTTACCAATTTTTATATGCTAACAGAATGTTTATTGAGTATTTTGGCAAATCATGTATTGGAAAGACAATGTTAGAGGTTTTTGTTTTTCTCTAAGGATTTTTTTTTTTCTTTTGAGAAATGACTGGTCTGTTGAAGAGCCTGTATGTACTTTTTTTTTTTAAATACCATATGAGCAATTGCTACCAAAAAAAAAAAAAAACAATTAAATAATCTTTTCCTGTAGCATAAAAGTAGATGAAAGACCAGCAGCATTCCTTCGAGCCATCCAGCTGCACGTCGACCCTGATGTTCAGTTGGTAAGTGTGGGGTGTGTTCTGGGATTTAGATGTGTAATTTTTATCTTTTCTTTATGTCTGAAGTCTTAAAAAAAAAAAAAAGTTCTCAACATACTGTCTGTCTTAGTCAGGGTTACTATGGCTGTGATGAACCGCCATAACTAAAGCACCCTGAGGTGGAAAGGGTTTATTTGGCTTAAGCTCTTATAGCTGTCCATCACTGAAGGAAGCCAGGACAGGAGCTGATGCAGAAGCCATGGAGGGGTGCTGCTTACTGACCTGCTCCCCGTGGGCCTTTCTTATAGAATCTAGGACCACCCATCTGGATATCGCACCCACAGTGGGCTGAGCCTGCCCCCATCCATCACTGATGAAGAAAATGCCCTACAGGTTTACAAAACAGCCCCATCTGCTGAGGCATTTTCTCAACTGAGTTCCTCTCGAGTCAGATGGCTTTGGCTAAGTTGACATAAAACCAGCCAGCACAGTGTCTCATGATCACGTTTTCAGGTTCTTCTGTGCGTCCCTCAAAATACTCAATGTATGAATGCCAGTATCTTTTAAATCAATATTTGATTTTCCTAATGCTAACAACCTTTAAATACTTGCTACTGCTCTCTAAGCCTCATTCGTGTCCCCATAATCTACGTAAGTTCTGGGGTCGTCGTTTACATATGATTTAAGAGACAATGCCCACCCCATCCTGTCGTGTTAGGGTACTTGTGGTCTTCACAGTAGTACAGGAGGTTCTTGCCAGCTCCCAGGTCTCAGCTGCCTCTAGCTCCGAGGTCCCCTGGGTCCTCTCCACCTCCTGTTGGTTTCATCTTCTGCAAGGGCTATATCTTTGATGTTTGACTCTGTGGGGCATCTGCAGCTACCTAATTTCACAGAACAGTAATGTGAGCACATATGTGTGCCACTCGTGGCTGCTTGCCCAAGTGGTGTGTGTGTGTGTGTGTGTGCGCGTGCGCGTGTGCGTACACCCATGTGTATATAGTATGTATTCATGCTTGCCTGTATGTGTGCGTGCTTATGTGCACATGCCTACTCACTTGTATGTATATACCTACATACATACCCGTGTGTGTGCTTGTGCGCCTGTTTGCCTGTGTATATATATGTGGGTGCATGAATGTGTGTGTGCCCCCATTCCTGCTTTGCATATATGTATAACTGACTGTGCAGACTGGAGCCTAAGCATGATTTTACCACACCCCAGGAAAGTTAAGGTCGGCAGTAGTGCTACCAGAAAGCTTTCTAGTTGGGCTGGAGAAATGGCTTGGAGATTAAGAACATTGGCCTTTCTTCCAAAGGTCCTGAGTTCAATTCCCAGCAACCACATGGTGGCTCACAACCATCTAGTGAGATCTGGTGCCCTCTTCTGGTGTGTAGGCACACATGCAGGCAAAATGCTGTCTAGGTAACTAAGTAAATAAATAAATAAATTTGAAAAAAAAAAAAAACTTTGTTTAAAAAAGAAGAAGAAGAAGAAAGCTTTCTACTTACCTACAAATTTGTAGTTTACTCAGTTACCAAGGCCTGGGCCGTACAGCTGAGCCATGCAGTTGCTCATGTGCCTGTTCAGTTCCCCCTGCAGATCACTGTAGTGACAAACAGACAGACAGACAGACACACACACACATACACACACACACACTATTCAATGGATATTATCTTAAATGAAGAGAAAAATTCTCACTCTAAGGAAATTACATTCGATGAAAATGAAAAGTACAAGCATATACAGACATGTTCTTTCTCAGAACTCAGAGCTCCTGGCACGGCCTATCATTTTTCTGGAACCCTCTGAGGGTACACTGCATGGTACCCTTTACTCTTGACTACTCTTGATACAAATGTCCTAAAAACAAAGCCACTCTACTACAGAACCACAGGGTGGCCAGCTATGAGAGAAAGAGCAAGCAGGAAGGGGATTTGAGGAGACTAAGGTGAATTCAGGAGAGGGATGAGGAGGAATCATGGACGTGTCCAAGTAGCTCGAACACTTGCTATCGTGATGGGTACATTAGAAGGAAGCTGGCTGGGCAAACTGGCATTTAAGGTGGTCAGGGGCCCCAAGGCCACTTAAGGGACCCACAGCCACGTTCACTTTTGCTTCTTGGGAACATGGGACCCTAAAGAACCCATGATTTCATGTGGACTCTTCTCCTAGGCCCGTTCAGAGAATCTTCGAACATCCCCAAAGATCAGGATGTTTGGAGCATCCACACTTTCACGTTGCCCATAGCTGTTCACAAGTGTAAGCAGCTGTATTTGATCCTGTGCTGTCATCTTGCTTTTAGGTGATGTGCATCCTGCCTTCTAATCAGAAGAACTGTTATGACTCCATTAAAAAGTACTTGAGTTCTGACTGCCCAGTCCCAAGCCAGTGTGTGCTGACCCGGACCTTGAATAAGCAAGGAATGATGATGAGTGTGGCCACCAAGATTGCCATGCAGATGACCTGCAAACTTGGCGGAGAACTGTGGGCTGTGGAGATTCCTGTGAGGACTGTCACACTTTGCTTTTTCATGACCAGTCAGTCTACAGATCAGTTAGAGATAGTATCATGTGATCCCAGTGTCTCAGTTGCCCCTTGGTGCCTCTGGTGGAGGAGGGGGGCTGGTTCTAAGACCCCCTAAAGATGAGATACCCAGATCTTCAGATGCTCAGCTTCCTTCTATAATTAACTGGTGCCTTCAGTCAGCGCCAGATGGCTTTTACCTGCTAATATGAAGAGCGTGTAATCCTGTGACCCTCTGGAACCCCTGGGTGGTGGCACCACACAAACCATTGCAGAGAGATTCCAGAAGTGGGTGAGGCACAGCCCCTCCTCTCAAGGAGCCTCTGCTTAGGTGCTGATAGGCTTCTTTATGGATGACACTCTTGGGTATCACAGAGTGGGGGTGGCTTGATTTGGATTCTCCTGGCTGCCATTTTAAATCCTGTGTCATGGCCTCCACCTGTAGCTGTGTCCAGCGGAGTACGCCTTTTCAGAGGGAAGACAGCCTTTTATCTGAACCTGGGCCCAGCCGTGTGCCTTCTCAAGAGTGGCTGCGCACCTTGAGGGAACACAGCCTGCTACCTAAACCTCCCACCTGAGGTGGGGCTCATCAGCTGCTATCCTGTGAGGAAATAAGGAAAATGAGAAGTGGCAGTATTGGCTGTACCTCCTCAGCCATGGCGATATGGTCATGTATCCACCACCCCAGCATAGTGAGAATTCTCAGCGCTCAGTCAGAAAAATGGGAGTGGGGTTCATCCTCAGATCTTTCTGGCCAGGCAGAGGGTAAAGGGATTGGCCACCTCTTTGCCCACCTCCACCCCTGAGGCTGATGGTCAGTTAGGCTCTTCAGCAAAGTTTCTATCACAGTCTTCCTCCATCTTTCATTCTTTAGTTTCTGGTTCAATCATCTGTCCCATCTGCAACTCCATTTCTTTGTCACGCAGCTTAACTTGAAAATGTGGTAACCAGAAAGTTTTTTAAAATGTCATCATTTGAGAGAAATATGGTCATTCCATTGTTGTAGGTGACGATTAATATTTACTAATAATTATCTTTTAGTAATGCTGCTGTTAATCCTAAACAGCTGTATAACCAAATCACCACACAGAGACTGGGTTTATTTAGTTAACCTAGAACACAATGCTGGGCAATGTTACTCCCTCCTAAACCTCCAAGCCCTCATAGTTTCCTAATATTTAGATTTCCCACATTATACTTTCTTTTAGTGATACATTAGGTCCAGTCCATCTCTCCATGTCCCAAGATCTTTCTTTCAGTTCTGCTCTCTCCTCTCTGCCTCGCCCTTTCTCCTCCCACTCATTTCCTGCCCTCTGGCTCCTCTCCTCTTTTCTGTCCTCTGGCTCCTCCCATTGCTCAACATTGTGGCTAGTTGCTTTATTTTGGCCTGTTTACACAAAGTTGAGACAAGATGCTTAGAATAAGTATCACAATGCATTATCTGTATTGAAACCAGAGAGTGGGGATTGGGGGAGAAATCAGCATTTGAATGAACAAGGGTAAGGTGTATACATTTCAAAAGAACATTATACCAACATTTAATCATGATTAACTTGCTTTAACAGTTGAAGTCCCTGATGGTGGTGGGTATTGATATCTGTAGAGATGCTCTCAACAAGGATGTGGTGGTCGTCGGCTTTGTAGCCAGCATTAACTCCAGGATCACCAGGTACATTAAACCCCTCTTGGCCCTCCTATCCTTAGCCTTTAGGATTGTTTATATGAAGGTATGGTTAGGGATTGCAGCTTTGGACTGGGAAACCTCTCAGGGCCTTATACCCTGAGAACACTGATTCTCCCCCCTTCTCAGTAGCCATCTATTATCTGTATGTAGGTCTTCATCTAAGGATATAGCATAAAGTTCTCAAAAAATACATGTAAATAAAGGTTAAAACTTACTGTTAGAATATGCTTTAAAGTTGTACGTATTTATCATATAGACAATGAGTTTCATTATATTTTCAAACCTGTAAGAAAGTATTTTGATCAGTCTACCCCATTATTGTTCTGTTATGTTTTTAAAATATTTTATTTATTTGTGTATTTGTATGAACACATATGTGCCATGGCATGCGTGAGCTTGCGTGTGTGCGTGTGAAGACAGCTTGCAGTTGGGGACAACAGTTGGTTCTCTCTTTGTACTTGCAGATTGAACTCAGGTCATCAGCCTTGGTGTTGGGTGTCTTTTCCTTCTGAGCACCTTTCCCCTACCAGATTTTAAATTGTATTCTAAAGACTGTACTGACATACGTTCTTTACATACATATATACCTGTCTATATTATTTACTCATATTTTAAACATCAACAGTTAAGGTCATGAATTACATATTATGATGTGACTGGTACTGTTGGACTAAAACCATTTTAGTTTAAAACCGTTTTCACACATTCACTGGAGTGAGTTATTGCTTGTACTCCAGCTGAATCCCTGGATCATGAATGCATGGGTTTCTTGTGCAGTTTGTTATGTTCCAAAGTCTGTGAGAAGCAAGCTGTGAATTAGGCACTTGCATATATTATGCAAAGCATATTAGCTTTGAAAGCAGATTGCTTGCAGTTGTACTTGGTCTGCTTTTGCAGCTGAGGCACAATTGTTTAATTTTGCTATGTGTTCTATGGTTACCCATAAAATAGAGAGAGTGACAGTGACCGTGTTATAAGGCTTTCGTGGAGGTTACGTCAGATTGCTCCAAACACTGCAACCTGCAATGAATGCCTCAGTAGGCACAGTTATTTTTCTTGTCAACTCTTGCAGGGTATGTGAAAGGCTGACAAAAGGAGACAAAGCTAGAAATGCCTTGAATAGGCTCCTGGTGCTTGTCATATTTTTGTCTTACAATTGCTTCAAGATTTGCAATTAAATAATGTATTTTGAGGCCATAGCAGCCAATTGCAAAATGTTTGTTCCTTGGTCTCAGCTGTTTTAGTCCATTGAATCAGTGTTAGGTATATATCTGGGCTTTCAAGATACAGGAAGAACCATTCCTGCTTGTGTATGATTCCGTTACAAATATTAGCTCATTTATCAAGTTTATCTTAGTGCCTGCTCTGTCATCTTGATGTCACTGAAGACTCCTGGTTTGTTAGAAGCATTTGTAATTGCAGATAGTCAGGGAATTGAGGTAATGGTGGCAAAACGTGTTAGTCACTTCCTGTTGCTGTGAGAGGAACTCTTAAGGGAGGAAAGACTGATTTGGCTCACAGTCTCGGAGGTGTTAGACCCCATTCCTCTGGGCCTGAGATAAGGCCAAATACTAGAGTCTGTGCTGAGCACAGCTACCCACCCAGGAGCAGCCAGGAGATAGAAACAGAAAGAGGCATGGGGAATAGGTCTGGGGAGAAAGACACACCCTTCAAAGGCATGCCCCCAGTGACCTGCCTCCCGCAAAGCCTCTTTCCTCCAGCAGATACAACTCAGTTCTCTAAATTAATCTGACCCAGTTGGTACCCTGATATTGTCACTTCTCCATAGCCCCACAAGCTGAAGAGGAGGCCTCCAATGTACAGGCCTTTTGTGGGGACCCTTCATACTCATGTCCTAACACATATTAAGCCCTTTGTTTTCCATGTACCTTTAATTAACAACTCTAAGGATTACTTTTCAAGTCTTGATGGCTTAATCTTGTAGAGACAGTAACTCTGGAAGAGTCGCCCCTGGAATTGGGTTAAAGAATTTTTCAAGCAGAAGATCTGCTAGAGAGAATTAGCACTCACTGTGCACCAGGTTCCATTCAACAAATATTTTATGTGTGTTATTCAGTTAATTCTTACTACTTTAGGAGATACTAACTACCTTCCTTTAAGCTTTCCTGGTATAGATATAGAAGTTTAAGTTTGGGTCTATGTCAAGGCCACATGGCTGCTGGACTTTCTGGTCAAAGTTTGAATCTAGATGGCAACACTGAAGGGTGATTTCAAGGGAAGAGGACCCTTTAGCATGATTGTGATAGCCAGCATAGATAAAGTCAGGAGCCCTGGTTTTGGCTGCTTGCACCTGTTGCTAACTTAACGGCATATGTTTATAGCAGGTATCTGGAAGTTATGCTTCATTTTGGCAATTGTTTATTTCAGGTGGTTTTCCCGCTGCGTCCTTCAGAGAACGGCAGCTGACATTGCAGATTGCCTAAAAGTCTGCATGACTGGTACTAATGGAGTGGGTTCTGCGGATTGCTCCTTCACACCCCAAACCCACAGACTGAGGGGAGCAAACACCCAAACCTATCAGCCCTCACCCAGTCGGAGATCCCCATGTCTGTGGGTTGACCAACAGGCTAGCAGACTGCATAGTGCTTCTGTCACTGTGTGTGCTGAGCACAAAGCCAATAGGGAAGACCATGTGTGGCTACCCAGGTGGCCCCAGCAAGCAGGTTGAGGGTAGTAGAAGCCTGCGCCGGAGAAATGAGGACAAGGACAGGGCAGCTTTAAATTTGCACACAGAAGTCCGGCCTCTCACCTGGAGGGCGGGGATGCTGGGAGATAGAGTTCAGTGCGGGAGAGAAAGGCACGGGAGATGGGAAATGAGGGGAGCTCTGTTCACAGCCCCAGCCCACTTTAGCTTTATCATATGAGCCGTGTGCATACCTTCCTTGTTCCCATGTGTAGTTTCCAGTCTACAAACATGAGGAGTCGGGATGTTTTTTTAAGTGAGCTTGATGATCCCTGTTAGCTGTGCTCGTAGAAGTATGATTCTCCTCTAGGAAACCAAATTTCCTAGGCCATAAACACTCCTGAAAGAAATTATATAATATGACCACAAAAAGGAATTGTAGCATCTTTACTGCTTTCTTCTCATTTAAAAACCTAGCCAATGTTTTAGCCGTTCCCACTAAAAGTCTCCCTCATGGTGGAACTGCCGTCTGGAGCCTCCTCTGAGGCAGTTTATAGTTAGAGTGGGTGGAAATGTTTCCAGGCTCCATGCCATGTGTGAGGCCTAGACTCAGATTGAGAGTCAGTGCAAGGAACTGTTTTGAGAGGAATCTGGAACACTTCCTTGTGTTTTTATATTTATTCTCATTAAGGAAGGACATGGCAAACACATCCAGTCTGTCTAGAGCAGATTCAAAGACTTGAAGTTGAATTAGTGTTAATTTAGCTTTAGGCATTTGTCTGTTGCGTGAATTAAATTTTGATTTGTCACTTAAATATTCGAATTTGGCTAAAGAAATGTGTTTCATTTAAGAGCATATTATGCCACAGAAACCCTTGTGGTTGCTCAAATGGCAGAGATGAAGAAACAGTCCCAGTTTGTCATTTATTGTTATTATTATTATCATTGTGGATATAACCCAAACTAAGTGGCATTGTACTGTGGTCTGAAAAAGCAAAGTTACTCACCCGTGAGAACCCGTGGGAATGTTCTTTTTGGTGGCCGTGGACCTATGACTCTTTTCTCATTACCGTCACATTCTCCAGGCGCTCTCAACAAATGGTACAAGTACAACCATGATTTGCCGGCTCGGATAGTCGCATACCGAGATGGCGTGGGGGACGGCCAGCTAAAGGCAGTTTTGGAATATGAAGTCCCACAGCTGCTGAGCAGTGTGATGGAGTGCGGCTCAGATGCCAGGTATTCCGGGCATTCTGGTCCCTTCTGATGCTTCTGGGACAACATACACATCTGCAGTCCCGCATGTATGGTTTGTGGACATGGCTTTTCTTTTTTAGGCCATGAAGCTTTGCTGTGTTTTTGTGTCGTGCCCAGCTTGGATGGATTTTCCTGAGACTGGGGTATAGTTCAGATGTTACAATATAAATAACCCTGGTGCTGTAAGGCACCTAGAGGGAGCAAGCATTTTTCTGAATAGCTGGGAGTCTTTCGGAGAGCTAGCAGGGGTCAGAATATCAAAGACACTGTACACTTATCAATACTCTGCTGGGGTGGGAGGTTTACAATCAGAGTCCCAAGTCACCACACAGAGCCTCCAGTTACAATTACCCGTGCACAGGCAAGAGTATGAATAGGGTGGAGGAGACTCATTGCTACACAGTGAGTTCCAAAGTCATTTTTTAGTTCTAGATCCCATGTTGCCATGGGTAGTTTTCTTCAGTGATTCTGTGGAAGACCAGCTGCAAGAGGAGCCTAGAATGGGAAAGTAAGCAAGGACCATACTCTCAAATCGGTGTCTTGACATTCTTAGGGGTCATCTTTTCACCAGGCAGTGCAGATCTGAGTCTGGACACACTCCCATTGCAATCAACCAAAGCCCCAGTCACCAGCCACAGAGGAATGGTCTTGGCCTCAGGCTTTTTGTAGTAAAAAGGTGGGAAAGCCAGGCAGCTGGCAATGCGACTCCCAGCTGTAACCCAGGTAGCAGAGGGAAATCTCCTCAGCAGGCATCCGTTGGCTGTGTCTCAGTTGAACGATTAAAAATGAAAATGATGTCATCGGTGGGCGTGGGTGAATCTAGCAGCAACAGTGCTAAGGAGCTAACATCTTAAGTTTCAGTATAGGAGACATTTGTAACTGCTTATTCGTACTCGTTTTTAGGGAGAATAATTTACTATACACTACAGGAGGGCATTCTTGTACTGTGAGCACAGCCCGTAGCTTAGAAGACTTCACATCCCCAAACTGCCTGAAGTGAAGCTTCATGCTGACTCTTGCTCCCCACATACCTTCCAGCTGGGATTTGGCCTTGGTGTTGTGAAATACACTTAGCACCCGGCCAGTCAGCATTTGGTCTATTTTTCCTTCCCTCCCTGTCCATCTGTCTGCTTACCCATCCTTTCACACACCAACCCAAACATGGGTTGTACATGATTGTCTGAGGAGCAGGAGGGACCAGAGTTCTCCTTGGCCCCTCAGTGAAGGTGGAAAGAGGGTGACAGTTGCTAATATAGGGGAAGTCTCCTGTAGAGATAATCTGGAAGCTCTTTCCTTAAGATTCCTCAGAAAACCTGGGAGAGACAGGACTGCAGTTCCAGTCCGAGCAGCTTAGTGAGACCTTGTTTGAAAACCTCAGTGGCAGAACACGGGGCTTTGGAGCCCCTTGGCTTCATCCCCAGTTCTGAAAGAAAAAACAGTTGAAGTTTTGCACCATTCTTTGTCCTCTTAAACGGTATAAACTTCTGTTGCAAATCCAAATAGACCTTAATTAAAATAATTGTATGCCTGACTAGAGGAGGAGGATTCACGGATGATTTTTTTTTCATTGTTTTGTGGTATTTTTAGAATGAATTTCTATTTCTTTCTTTAACCTGACCAAACAGCAACAAACCAACCAACCTCCACAACCACCAAAAACAAAACAAAACAGGCAAGCTGTTTGGCTCAGCCTCTGTGTGCTCATCTCGCGCCTTTTCTGTTGCAGGAGCAGCAGGCTGTCAGTGGTCGTGGTCAGGAAGAGATGTCTGCTGCGCCTTTTCATGGAGACAGGCCGCACTGTACAGAACCCCCCACTTGGCACTGTCGTGGACTCAGAAGCAACACGCCCTGAGTGGCAAGTGTCACTGGAAAACTGATTGTGTGTGTGTGTGTGTGTGTGTGTGTGTGTGTGTGTGTGTGTGCGCTCATGTGGAAACCAGAGTTTGATATCAGATGTATTCCTGATTCCTTCCACCTTCTGCTTTGAGCCAGGGTCTCTCAGTCTGGAGGTCGGGGATCGGCTAGGTGGGCCCCTGCTTCTGCAGAGCTACAGTTGCTTGCAGGCAGGCAGCCACACCCGGGTGGTTGGTTTGCATTTTTACATTTACATGAATGCTGGGGGATCCGGCTCAGGTCTTCATTCGCACAGCAGGTGCTTCACAGCTGGGGGCCAGCCCAGGCTATGTCCAGGTCCTCTGAGGAGATGAGGAGGGAGAAATGAGTCAGGCACGAGGATGGAAAGGAGTTTTACATCCTGACTGACTGGCAATCTGGGTGCTTCTTTATTTATACAGAACTTAGTTGTCAGGGATAGATGCATGTTGTTCCAAAACATAGATCATATAATTTTTGTCCCTGGACATACATTTTAACTTCTGCTTGGTCATAAGTTTAGTCATTATTGGTAAACCATGACAGAACAGAGTTATCTTTTATGATCATTTTCCCTCATCAACCCCACAACCCAACTTTGAACAGTATTGTAGTTTCGAAGGGCATATTTTGCCAAAGCAGGACAGCCCATTCTCAGGCTGGCAGTTGGCAGTTTTTCAAGGGCACTAGACAGAAGGAAAATCTCCAAGCAGCCTGGGCAGATGGTCATGTCCCAAGCAGTGGTGCATTATCAACTTTTATAGTCAGAGTGCTAATTGTCATTTGTAGAATTTATATGTCTAATATTGCTATTTTCAGGGTCATAGGCTACCATAGTGGCCCTGTATGAGTTAACATTTTCTAAGAAAGAGAAGTCTCAATGTTTTTTGTTTTGTTTTGTTTTTATCATTTATCCACACCATTCTTTGTCCATCAGTATTAGGAAGAGGCTTTTAATTTGATCTGCTGCCAACTTTTCTAGCCCACCGAATATTGTTTACCTTTTAAAGTTTGATTTGTTCTGATTATCCTGTTGCTGCGTAAGTGCAGGGGCAGATGTGCCAAGAGTATCTTTGAGGTCTCTGGCATATTTACTTGAGTCACAACCTCCAGAACATAAGAAAGACCTTCAAGTAGGGCCAGATAAGGGAATCTCCCTAAAAGCAGGAGGAATATTATGGTAAGGACATTCCTGGGGAAGCTTAGAAGCAGAACACCCTGGAGAGAAAATGTAAATGATTCGTAAGAAATTTTCCATCAATCCAATATCCCCAAAGTTGTACAAATAATAAAAGCGCCCCAAACTTTCAACATTCAGAGAACAAGGCCAAAAGAGTGGGAGACTGCGCCACAGCGATTGCATCACTCGGCTCAGCTCTGGGGGATCTTCGTCAAGCAGCTGCGCTGGCTTTATGACTTGTTCCCATTAGATATGGCTGTGCCACTTCACTCTGACCAACCTCCCCAGCCCTGGAAGACTGATTTTCACACACATGCATTGTACATTGTTTCATTTTGGCCTTTCTTTGTGACTCCTCTCCACTCCTCCCTGTTTCTCTGCAGGTATGACTTCTACTTGGTCAACCAGATTGCTAACCGGGGAACTGTTAGTCCCACCTACTACAATGTCATCTATGACGACAATGCCTTGAAGCCTGACCACATGCAGAGACTGACCTTCAAACTGTGCCATCTCTACTACAACTGGCAAGTAAGTAACAGCTGCTTATTGAAGTAAGCATAACACTGAAGGTTGCCACCTGGGACTTTTCCATGTCCTTCCCCTACATCTAGTCCATACCCCTGACTTCACAGAGAGGAGTGGGTACATGGTTCCTTAAGTCCATGGTAGGAGGGACCCACACTATCTCAGAAATGTTAACAGCAGGAAGCCCTTCCACAGGCCCAAATTCAGTCTTCACAGATCTTCATGATGCTCATTACCTCAGGTAAGACTGAGGGTAGCACTGTCTTATCAATTCCATGGTACATAGGAGAGATGTGAAACCAGAACAGACGTGTTTGGTGAGGTTAAGAGGTGTGTGCTGCCTGTGCCTGTATGTTAGGCAAGAGCCCAAGGCCCAGATTAGCTCTTAGCCCCACTAGAACATGAGACCACAAGAAGCTTACAGTAGGCCTGTATGCCATGTCTCCCAGCTTACACACAGTGAGGAGACGCCACCCCCAGCCCATCCTGCCAATGAGCTTAGGTTCCCATTGGGTAAGCCTGCCCTTTAAGGGACAATTATTTCTGCAGTGTTATCACTCTTTTTTTTTTTTTCTCTCTCTCTCCAGGGTGTAGTCAGTGTCCCTGCTCCATGCCAGTATGCACACAAGCTGACTTTCCTGGTGGCACAAAGCATTCACAAGGAACCGAGTTTGGAATTAGCTAACAATCTCTTCTACCTTTGACAACTGAGCTGACAGCGTGGCTCCATGGAGACTCCAAAAAGCAGTTGCAATGTTTTGTACAAATCTGACTAAAGCTTAAGGCTCTTGATGCCTAAACGGGGTTGAGCCTAATTTTAAGTATTAGGGAGGGGATGTTGAAAGAAAAAAAGTCATCTGAAACAGTTAGGAACAAATCTCTGGGTCCTCCCACCCCCGCCACCTTGTCTAAAACAAAAACAAAACAAGATCAACAAAATACTGCAAAGTAACAGGCTTTAAAAATACATGTATGCCAGTTTGCTTCATCCTTGTGCATCATTGTATTTTTTTTTTAAAGTGAATGCGTGAGGTGAATCCTCACTGGTGTTGGGGATATATCATCATTTAACTGGATTCTAAAACAATGTTTGGTATCTCGATGGTGGATAAGCAGGACTTGACTTCCTTCTTGAGTTACCAGAGTTTTTCTAAATATTGTGTTTGGTAGAGTGGGTTAAGTAATTATTGCAAAATAAAGTATGAGAATCACATGTGAGGTTATTGTTTCTTGAATTTGAAGTTGAGTGACACGAACCTTGGATTTAAGGAACGGTATCACGGACATGCCCACTCGACCTCTCCACCAGTGACCTTCTGTATCTGAAACGGTGCAGTGCTGGGTCCTGTGGCAGGCTCCCATCTCATCCAGTAGTGGCGCCCATGCTGCTGGAGCCCAGCCTTGCTTCCCACTCACACTGGGCAGGCCCATGGGATCCACCTCACACAAGAGCGCCTGTGCTTGTCGACTCCGCTGCCCTGTTAGCAATACGGTGCTCTGTGCCCTAATGGAAGGCTCTATACTCCGCACCGGAGCCACCCTGCCAGCCCCGATCCTCCACTCTCTTTCCAGATCACCAGTTTTTCCTACCTAACCAATTGACCTTATAAACAGGTGGTTCTCCCACATGTCCTTAGAAGGAACCCACCTATCTTCCTCTGCAGCTACGCCACTCCTTTCCTGCTCTTCATCGACTCTGTGTTCCTCGTGCACAATCCCTCCACCTAAGAATTTTACCACAATCACTAACGTCAAGTCTGCTTCAGTCAAAATCGTCGTGGGCTCCCACTTTGCACAGTGTTTACAGCCAAAAGTCCCGTGACAGCATTTGCCCTTGGTATTCTCCTTGGTCACCACTCACCTCTTCCTTGCTGAGTCCCCCCTTCTCTCCAGCACTCCCCCTCTGCTGAGTCTTCCCTTTCCTCCAGCACTCCTCCTCTGCTGGAGCTTCCCCTGTTCACCAGTCCACAGTGGAATGCCCCAAGAACAAGAATATGGATGGAGGCAAGAGAAAGATTTTAAACAAGGAAAGATCACTTCCAAATTCTGCCTGCAGAGGAAAGGTCATGGGGAAGGCTGCAGCGGGAGGGAGGCAGGTCTTCTTTAGGCCTGAGGAGGAGCTGAGTACATGAGGGACACAGTCTTGTCATGCTGAACTGAAAACATTCTTTTTTGTTCTCTCTCCCTCCCTCTCCCACTGTCTTCCTTCTATGCCTTGAAACATGGTCTCAACAGAAACCACGGAAGAACACAGCTTGTTGGCTTGCTCTCAATGGCAGGTGGTCCTGAGCAGAATAAAAAAGCAAGCTTGAGCAAGCCGTTGGCTCTGCCGGCTTGCAGTTGATTATCCCGGGGTGGGCTGGTCACTTTCTCTCTCTCTCTCTCTCTCTCTCTCTCTCTCTCTCTCTGGTCACTTTCATATCAATCATTAATCAAGAAAGTGCTGGCTAATCTGGTAATGTCTTAATTGAGATTTCTGATTCCAAGGTGACTCTAGTTTGTGTCCAGTTGACAGAATGAACCAGCAAAGGTGATATAGAAGTCCATCTAACCAGATGCCTTGTATTAATTTGCCTCCAACGCTTTGATTCACCAATGCAGGGGTCTTGCCTAACCAGCCCTTGTCTGACCAGCTCGGCCCCTGTCAAGGATGCCTTTCTGATTGAATTCACCAGGGGGCGCACATACACTGGCCTTTGACCAGAATTTCCCTAGCGAGGCCCAATGCCAGAGGGCAGCCTTGGATTAAGAAACCTTCACTTGAATTCAGATTCCAACAGGCTGGGCGACATGGAGGTTTCTCTTCTCTTCTCTCCTGGGGCCCTTTTACCCTGTCTACACCATGAGGAGTGGAGAGCACTATGGGAGACAGAACTTAACCTTAGAAACAAATTTTTGCTGTTTTCCCTTCAGTATTGACGTTGAATTCAGGGCCTCAAATGCGTTAGGCAAACATTTTTACCACTTAGCTATGTGACCCAGACCCACCTCCCCGCCATACTCAGTGATTTCACTGATAATGGACGAAGCCTGCTAGCTAAAAGTTTTTAACACCAGGTTTAATGTTTAAAAACACCATGTACAAATATGCCTCCTGGCTTAAGGACCGTTGGCCTAGACTATCTAAGTTCCATTCTCTCTCCTGCTTTGTAACTGCCTCCTATAGCCTACGATAAATAGCTTCTTGTTAAAACTACCAGATACAAAGAGAAAGAAAGCACGAGCCCAGCTTCAGTACAGTCCTGGGTCTGAGGCTGAGCCCTGGAACTACCACTTGGTAGCTATGAAAACTCCGGTACATAACCATACCAAGCATCGGGGAATCTTGTAAAATTCCCATGCCCATTTTGTAGAGTTATTGTAAGAATGACAGATGTCAAACCTAGTGCAGCTGGCTTTAATGACGAGGACCACGTTAGTGGATTAAATCAGAATGACACAATTTAAATCAGCAGATTTGTATGCCAGGCACTGTGCTGGACTCTGAATCGCATAATCCTGCTTAAAGTGCCCCATTTTGGGGTTTTTTTTTTGGGGGGGGAGGGGTTGTTTTTCTTTGTTCCTGTCTTTTGGATTTTTGAAAAGCTATTTATCAGTTTCTCTTCACATTGCAGTGACCAAGTGCTTGATGCTAAGCCACTTAAGAGAGGGAGGGTTTGTTCCGGTTCACTGCAGCCACGGATCAGAAGCAGAGGCAGGACAGGAAAGCCTGCCTCTCCCGCGGCCCACTTTCTTCAGCTAGGCCCCACCTCCTAACGGTTCCACAGCCCTTTACAACAGCGCCACCAGCCGGAAGGAGGGGTGACGCGCATATGCCTGTGGAGGACAGTTCAAACCCTACCACGGCATAGTCAACTGGCTGTTTCTGGACAGGGTTGGGGGAGGGGAGGTTCACTTTCATGGGGGCTGGAAGGAGGTGGAGTAAAGTGTACTTTAAGCACGTTTCTGTGGGTGCCATGGAGGAGCAGCAGTCAAGTCTCATTTTCCAATAAAAACGAACATGACTGACAGCATTTCAATGTTCCGGCTTCAGGATCCGCTACAACAGCATCTTGTGACCGTGGCTCTTTCCATGTGTTGGTTGCCTTCGGCTGAGCATAGCAGAGGCAATAAATTTGGACTGTTTCTGCCTGGAGGGATAGCCCACCATCACACGACCCTGACTCCTCTTGAACATGGCCAAGTCTCTCTCCGGGATGTGCTCGAATTTCTGGCTCTTTCTAGCACTCCTCCTTTACTGGTGGCAGGTGGGTGCTGACTCTTAGTACTTGAGCAGGGTGGTGGCAGGTGGGTGCTGACTCTTAGTACTTGAGCAAGGTCTCCTCCACCTGTCCCCTTCCTGTGACCTCACCCCATTGAGTCTTAGGCTTCTGTTTCTATCTTGGTGTCTGCTGCTTGGGAGACCTAAGCCAACACAATTCTCCTCTTGAAGCCAAACTTCTGTTTAGTAATAAAAAGTACTTTTAGTAAAATGTCTACCAATCAAAACATGAAATCTAAAAGAAACTGTGTGTGTATAATCTTTTAAATGATGGGTTTTGGTATAGCAATTTCCCATGGGAAAATTTACTTGTAATCCTTCTTAGTACACTTCAGGCTCTCAAACACAAAATGTCAACTGCTCTTGAGGCTCGTTACCAAACGTCAGGGCTTCGTTGCTCACATTAACCGTGGTTGGCATTCTGATTTGACCCAGTGCACACTGGCCAAGAAAAAGCCACCAGCTGCTCCTGGAAGGGTGAAGAGAAGACTCGTTTCCAGTAAAGAGATGGATGAAATAAAGAGAAAATGAAGATCTTTGCCGTGTACTGTGTATTGATTTTGTTTGTTTGTTTTGTGTAATATTTAACTTTAAATTATGAAAGTTATAGATAGACGTTATACAATATGTGGAAAATACAGAAAAAAGTTACCAATATTGGTGCCAGCAAGAGGTAAGCATGGCCGAAGCTTGCATATGTTTCACTTTAGTCCTTTACAGGTACTGTGCATGTAGTTTCAGGAACCTTATTTTCCACATAAGGTTACATAGTATGAATATTTTTCTATTTGATTATAACTTTTCTGTAGGCATGTTTTAGTGACTAATAGTTTACTGTGTAGATGTGACAAATACTTTCTCTGTTTTTATTGTGTTTTAAATTGTTCCCTGCTCTGAAAACATGGCATACAGTTTCTCCCCGTGTGTTTTGGTATGGCTTCGTTAGGTTAGGTTTCTAAAAGAAAAAATTTCTGAGCCAAAAAATTCTAACACTTAAAAAAATAATCTTTATTAGTATTTTTATATGCGAGTTGTTTTACCCGCATGCCCATCTGTGCACCATGTGGGTGCAGTGCCCACGGAGGCCGGAAGGGGACATTGGATTTTCTGGAACTGGAGTTGCAGAAAATTACAAAGTTGGGACTGAACCGGGGGCCTTTGCAAGAGCAGTCAGTGCTCTCAACTGCTGAGCCATCTCTCCAGCCCCAAAACTTTCTAACACCTAAAAAGCTGTTAACAGACATTCCCGATTTCTCCCCTAAACATCTCTGGTATTCTGTTCTCAGGGTGGCATTATCGTAAAATTTGCACATTCCACCTAACCAAAAAGTATTCCTGTTGTTGCTTGGCATTAGTTTCATGTGTATTGAATCAGTAACTAAAAATAAATTGAAAATGCTTATTGGTCATTTATGTTTTTGTTTGTTTTTAAAAGCCAACTAATACGAAGCCTTCATAAAAACCATAACTCTTTGTTTTTTATTTTCTGTGTGCTTTCAAATATTATGGTGCTTTTTTTAAACTACCTGCATTTCAAGCTTGTATATTCAAATGATCACAAATCCCTTTGAGTTTATGAAAACTAATCTAAAACTTGAAAGCAGTCCAAAGATAGTGTCAGTTAGACACTGAGATTTGAGAGAATGAGTCGAATGTGGGACAAGCTCAAAGATACAATACCTACAAGTCTTCTTGGAATGTATGGTCATAGTAAAAATAGCATAGAGCGTTGCCTAATTTTTTTTCTATCTCTGTGATGAGACAGGACAACTTATTAAGAGAAGTAATTATTGGTTTACGGTTTCAGGGGTTAGTGCTCATGAGAGCAAGGTGGAGACTGTGGTGGGGACAG